TGGTCCTCCTGGGGAAACTGAGGCACGGGGCTGAGCGAGATGGATGGGAGATGGGGAGCTCATGCAGCTCCTCTTCCCAACCCATCCCTCTGTTTTCCACCTTTTCTGATGGAAGAGGGGCCGAGGCCCCGGGTCCTCATTAGACGCAGGGTGAAAATACACAGCCCGGGCACCACGCAAACCCAGTTCCAATTAAAATCTCTTTGGGAAGAGGCATAAATACCGGGGGAGCTGACGTGCTGGAATTGGGTTCTAGTTCGCCTTCCCGAGGAGCCTTAAATATTCCCCTTCTCGTAATACTAATATAAACCAAAAATGAACTCCCGGCTTACGAAACAACATCTAAATTCCCCTCGTAATTACATTACTTTCAGCGCTGCAAAGATGCCAATAAAACATAAACCAGAGCTGGGCAGAGGGAGAGGAACTCGGGAAGGAATGGAATGAAGTGCTCCAGTGTGGCATGGCAAAGGAGCCAGGGGGGGCTGGGCTCCCCATTGCTGCCCCATGGCCTCCAGCCCAAGGGTCCATCTCCCCCCCTCAGCGTCCCAAGGGCCACCAATAGGATGCCCACATCCTGCTCCTGCCCCCCAAGTCAAGGCTGGGGGGATTGGGGGGGTGCCTTTGTCTCGCTCCCCCCCCCCACGCTGGGGCAGGACCCAAAGTTGATGGAAAAGCTCCGGCCCCTTTTTCCTGCCGTTAATCCCGGTGAAAGGGGGCAGCCAGGCAGAAAGACAAAGGGCTCGGTGGGCCCCGTGTGGGGCGAGGGCAGGCACGGGGACAGGGGGACATGGGGGGCACGGGGACAGGGGAACAGGGAGACATGGGGGCAATGGGGATGACAGGGGGGCAATGGGGATGACAGGGGGGCAATGGGGATGACAGGGGGACATGGGGGGAATGGGGGGCACGGGGACATGGGGACACATGGAGGGAACAGGGGGGACGGGGAACATAGAACCAGTGGGAAAGGGTTGAAAGGGGCAACGTGGGGACATGCACTGGACGTGAGCTTGTATGGAGCATGTGTATGTGTGTGTATATGTGTGTGTGTGCGTGTGCATGTGTGCATGTGTGTGTGCATGTGTGTGTGTATATGTGTGTGTGTGCGTGTGCATGTGTGTGTGCGTGTGTGTGCGCATGTGTGTGTGTGCATGTGTGCGTGCATGTGTGTGTGCAAGTGTGTGCGTGCATGTGTGTGTGTGCATGTGTGTGTGTGTGTGCGTGTGCGTTTGTGTGTGCACATGTGTGTGCGTGTGTGTGTGCATGTGTGTGTGTGCATGTGTGTGTGTGCATGTGTGTGCATGTGTGTGTGTGCGTGTGTGTGCGTGCGTGTGCGTTTGTGTGTGCACATGTGTGTGCATGTGTGTGTGCATGTGTGCGTGTGCATGTGTGTGTGCATGTGTGTGCATGTGTGTGTGTGCGTGTGTGTGCATGTGTGTGCGTGCGTGTGCGTTTGTGTGTGCACATGTGTGTGCACGTGTGTGTGCATGTGTGTGTGCATGTGTGTGTGCGTGTGCATGTGTGTGCATGTGTGTGTGCATGTGTGTGTGCACATGTGTGTGCATGTATGTGTGTATATGTGTGTGTGTGCGTGTGTGCATGTGTGTGTGCATGTGGGTGTGCATGTGTGTGTGCATGTGCATGTGTGTGTATATGTGTGTGTGCATGTGTGTGCGCATGTGTGTGTATATGTGTGTGTGCATGTGTGTGTGCGTGTGTGTATATGTGTGCGTGCATGTGTGTGTGCATGTGTGTGTGCGCATGTGTGTGTGCATGTGTGCATGTGCATGTGTGTGTGCATGTGTGTGTATATGTGTGTGTATATGTGTGTGTGCGTGTGCGTGTGTGCGTGTGTGCATGTGTGTGTGCATGTGTGTGTATATGTGTGTGTGCGTGTGCATGTGTGTGTGCATGTGTGTGTGCACATGTGTGCATGTGTGTGCGTGCGTGTGTGCATGTACGTGTGTGCATGTGTGTGTGTGCATGTGTGTGTGCATTTGTGCATGTGTGTGCGTGCATGTGTGTGCACGTGTGTGTGCATGTGTGTGTGCATGTGTGTACATGTGTGTGTACATGTGTGTGCACATGTGTGCATTGTGTGCGTGCATGTGTGTGTGCATGTGTGTGCACATGTGTGTACATGTGTGTGCATGTGTGTGTGCACGTGTGTGCACATGTGTGTGCGTGTGCATGTGTGTGTGCACGTGTGTGCACATGTGTGTGCGTGTGCATGTGTGTGTGCACGTGTGTGTGCATGTGTGCATTGTGTGCATGTGTGTGCATGTGTGTGCACGTGGGTGTGCATGGGTGTCTGCTGTGTGTGTGTGCATGTGTGTGTGTGCGTGTGTGTGCATGTGTGTGTGTGCATGCGTGTGTGCGTGTGTGTGTATGCGTGTGTGTGCGTGTGTGTGCATGTGTGTGTCTGCATGCGTGTGTGCATGTGTGTGTGTACATGTGTGCACATGTGTGTACATGTGTGTGCATGTGTGTGCATGCGTGTGTGCATGTGTGTGTGCATGTCTGTGTGTGTGTGTCTGTGTGTTCCTGTGTGTGCATGTGTGCGCGTGCATGCGTGTGTGCATGTGTGTGTCTGCATGCGTGCGTGCATGTGTGTGTACATGTGTGTACATGTGTGTGCATGTGTGTGCATGCGTGTGTGCATGTGTGTGCGTGTGTGTGCATGTGTGTGTGCACGTGTGTGCATGTCTGTGTGTGTGTGCATGTGTTCCTGTGTGTGCATGTGTGTGTGTGCATGCGTGTGTGCATGTGTGTGCGTGTGCACATGTGTGTGCATGTGTGCATTGTGTGCATTGTGTGCATGTGTGTGCACGTGGGTGTGCATGGGTGTGTGCTGTGTGTGCATGTGTGCGTTTGTGTGTGAGCGTGTGCATGCCTGTGTGTGCATGTGTACATGTGCATGCGTGTGTGCATGTCTGTGTGTGTGTGTTTGTGCGTGTGCATGCATGTGTACATGTGCGCGTGTGTGTGCATGTGTGTGTGCCTGTGTGTGCATGTGTGTGCCTGTGTGTGCTTGTATGTGCATATGTGTGCACTGTGTGTGTGCCTGTGTGTGCTGTGTGCTCGCACGGGAACAGCCGTGTCCAGGAGCTGGGCCCCCGCTCACATCCATGCACACGCATGTGCACACACATGTGCAGCCGTGTGCACAGACACCCTGTACCACCCTCGCGCCCTGCAGCACCCTAGGGTGGCGTGGGGGGGGGTGGGCGATCTGAGCTGCCTTCACCCCAGCCCTCCTCCTCCTCCTCCTCCTCCCTACCCAAGGCCTGTGCTCCAGATGTGCGGGACGCTCCAGATGTTGCTCCCAACCGGGTTTCCTGGGGTCACCCCCCCCCATCCCGCACCCTTGGGTTCAGCGCATCCCTTGGCCCCCCCATCACCACACAAGGGCCTGGCAGAGCACACCCCCCCCCCCCATGTTCCTTCTCCCCCCTCCGGGTGCTGGGGCTGCCAGCGCTGCTCCATTGGCTGGAGTTCCATTAATTTGTGGAATATTCCTGGTTGGAACAATGTCTAATTAAGACTTTTGTTTGTGAGTGCAAGCAGGGGGGGGTTGCTTTGGGAAAAGGGAAGGGGGGAATAAAGATCCCAAATCATTAATGAAGGGGGGGGGATTGTTCTGGCATCCTTCCGCCCCTACAGATGTCTTAATGAGACAGCGCTTAATAATAATGGGATTATCATCCCCATTGAAGCAGGACGGGCAGCTGGGAGAGCACGAGGAGGCGCCCAGCAGGGCCCCTGCATCCCTATGGATGGACTAGGGTGAACCGGGAGCGACCCTAAGGGATAGGGAAGGCGTGGGGGTGATGGAAACTGTGCCTCGGTTTCCCCACGGGCAGCTCAGCTCAAAGGTGGTGCTGGCGAGCAGGGGGGGGTGAGGAGAGGAGGTTGGATTCCATGGGTTTAATAAAACCCCCGAATCCAGGAGGAAATAGGTTGGAAAAGAAGGGAGAGAAAATCGATGGGGCTGGGGCTGGGTCCCGGCCCTGCTCCCTCCTTGCTCTGTTCCAGCAGGCAGGAATTTCAGCTCCTTCCCCCCCATCCATCACCCCCCCCCTCCAAGCTGCCCCTCAGCATCCCCAGTGCATCCACATCACATCCCAACTGCCATGTGCTCTGGGAGGCCCCATTTGGGATAAGCTGGGGGGGGGGTCCCGTGGATATCGGAGGTCAGCGTCCCCCCCACACATCACCCCAGTGCTGGGGTCCCCACAGCGAGCACCATGTGAGGGGACACAGGGCAATGGGAGACCCCGGGTTTGGGGAGTCACAATGAGGGCGACCCTGGGTTTGGGACACACGATGGGTTTAGGGGGTTGCAATGGGGTGTCCCTATGTTTGGGGGTCGTCACAATGCGGGTGCCCCTGGTTTTGGGGGGGGGTGTCAATGGGGTGTCCCAATGTGTTCCGGGGGGGGGCCGCAGCTCCCCAACCCTTCCCCCGGGCTCTGCAAGCGCTGCTCAGGAGGAGCCGGAGCCGGAGCGGAGGGAGCAGCCCTGGCTCCCGCTCCCGCTCCTGCGGTCGGAGCCCAGCGATGATCCCACAAGCCTGGAATTTGAGGAATTTCCTGCCAAGGCTCTGGAAGACGAGGGAGAGAGCGAAACCCCTGCGTTAACCCTGCGCTGCCCGGGGGAGCGCGGCGGGGCCGGGGCCATGCGGGGGCACGTTCAGCGCTGGGGGGGGCACATTCAGCTTTAGGGGGCCACATTCGGCTTTAGGGGGGCCACATTCGGCTTTAGGGGGCCACATTCAGCGCTGCGGGTGCCGCTGGCAGCTCCCACATGGAGCCGGACGGAGGGTCCGGGCCCTGCACTGATGTGGGAAGCAAAGCGCTTCGTGCCTCGGTTTCCCCATTGCCACCCTCCTGCTGTGCCCCAAGGAGGCCCCCAGCACTCAGCGCATCGTCTTGTGCCCCCCCCCCCCCCAACTGAGACCAGGGGGGGCTCAGCACCCCCAAGCCCTCGTTGGGACACGCAATGGGGCTCTGTGTGCCCTGAACCAAGGCTGGTGGTGGTGTGGGATGGAAAATCCTTTCCCAAAGGGTTAGAACTATGGGTTTGTATCAACTATGGGTTTATATCAGCTATGGGTTTATATCAACTATGATTTTATATCAAACACACTTGAGAGACTGAGGGGGGGTCATAAAAGAGCTAAAAGGGCATGGAGGGAGCAAGTGAGAATGCAGCTGGAGACCCCCCACCCCTGTACAGGGTTCAGAGGGGCCCATTCTGCCCAGGGCAGCGACGGGAGCTGGGCACCAGCCTCGCTTTACCCTCAGCACTGGGCTGTTCCCATCCCCAGCACCGGTACCCATGAGGACAGACTCAGCATCAACCTGGGCAAGGGGCAGCCTGGGTGCCCCCATCCCACAGCTCCCATGGGATGGGGCTCACGGGGCATCCCCATGCGCTGGCGTTGCAGCCTTCCTCCTGCTCCTCTGCATCACCCCGCTGCCCCCCGCAGCTCCCGGTGATGCTCCTGCGCCCCATTGCACCCCATGTGCTCCTTGCACACTCCCTTGCACACTCGCCCACCCGCACACACTTTCCTGGCTCCTTTTCTTCGCCGTTCCTATGGCAACCCCTCCAAGGCACAACCGCTCTCCGACTGGAAATAAAAGTTGTTTTTCCTCCCCTCCTCCTTTACTCCACTCTTCTCCCCCCCCCCCCCCCTTATTTTGATTTCCATTTGGATCATAATCCGCCCGTTGCCATGGCAGCGCTGGCAGCCCTTTATGTCCCAGCCCTTGCAGAAAAGGCCTCTCTCCCCCTTTTTGCCTTCCCCAAGTGGGTTTGCTCCTTAAATCCCCTCCTTCCTGCCATCCCCTTGCAGCAGCGAGCCCGGGATCCAGCCCGGCACCAGGACCTGGCGTCACCGGCTGCGCCACGTCCGACGCTGTGCCGATGGGACCTCAGTGGCGGGTGGGTGGAAAGGAGCTTGGCTTCCAACTCCCAGCCCCGACAGATGCATCCCAGAGAAGTCCAGGCTGGATCCTGGAGCACAGCTCCAGCCCTTTTCCAGATACCCTTAACTCTGCCCATTGCTCGGATGCTCCTGAGCATCCTCCTCTGTGGGTTGGTACCCAGTGGTTCCTCATCTGAGCATCCTTCCCTATGGGCTGGTACCCAATGGTTCCTCATCTGAGCATCCTTCTCTATGGGCTGGTACCCAAGAGCATCCCCACTCAAAGCATCCTCCACTGTGGACTGGTACTCAGGGATTCCTCATCTGAGCATCCTTCCCCATGGTTTAGTACTCAGGGATTCCTCACCCAAGCATCCTCGCCTGTGAGCTAGTACCTGGGAGGGTTCCTTGCCTAAGAGTCTCTTCCATGAGCTGGTACTTGAGAGGTTCCTCACCACAGCATCCTCCCCACGGGCTGGTACCCACAGCATCCTCACCCGAGCATCCTCCCCATGGGCTGGTACCCACAGCATCCTCACCCGAGCATCCTCCCCATGGGCTGGTACCCACAGCATCCTCACCTGAGCATCTTCCCCATGGGCTAGTACCCACAGCATCCTCACCCGAGCATCCTCCCCATGGGTTGGTACCCACAGCATCCTCCCCATGGGCTGGTACCCACAGCATCCTCACCCAAGCATCCTCCCCATGGGTTGGTACCCACAGCATCCTCACTCGAGCATCCTCCCCATGGGCTGGTACCCACAGCATCCTCACCCAAGCATCCTCCCCATGGGTTGGTACCCACAGCATCCTCCCCATGGGCTGGTACCCACAGCATCCTCACCCAAGCATCCTCCCCATGGGTTGGTACCCACAGCATCCTCACTCGAGCATCCTCCCCATGGGCTGGTACCCACAGCATCCTCACCCAAGCATCCTCCCCATGGGTTGGTACCCACAGCATCCTCCCCATGGGCTGGTACCCACAGCATCCTCACCCGAGCATCCTCCCCGTGGGCTGGTACCCACAGCATCCTCACCCAAGCATCCTCCCCATGGGCTGGTACCCACAGCATCCTCACCCAAGCATCCTCCCCATGGGCTGGTACCCGACGCTTTCCTCTCTCTCATCCTATCCGGAGGGTGCCATGGAGGGAAGCGCTGTGGCTCCCGCTGGCAGCACAGCCGGATCCCTCCATCCCCTCCACCTTGCCCGCGCTGTGCCCGCTCCTGGCTGGGAGCAGGAGGTTATGAAAATGAGCTGCGTGCCCAGGAGACTGTAATTATCTGCTAAGTGCGAAAGCTGGAGTGATTAATTAAGAGATAATAAAAAGAAAAGGAGGCTGGAGAGGGAATAACGGATGCTTTGATGATAAAACCTGAGGTAAGGCAAGCAATTAGGGGAATCTTTATGGAGCGCTCGCTATAATCCCTGCGTGGCGGGGGGCTGGACGCATGGATGCACGGACAGACCCACGGCCGAGCAGAGAGGCCAAACAGCCTCCGTGTGCCCCAGCGCTCTGGCATCCCTCGGGATCCACTCAGTGGGATGAGGAGGATCCCAGGTAGGATGTAGGCCAGGAGGACAAGCTGGTTTGGGATTGAGCCAATCCTGAATAAAAGGGTGGGAATCTCAGCTCTAGTGGGAGAGAGGTGCCCAATGACACCAGTTCCACACCCAATGGGTGCATTCCTACCCGATGGACCCATGGACGGCTCCGGATCCCGGAGGCAAGAGGCAGGATGATGCTGGGCGCTCCGTGGCCGGGCTGGCTGCCTCCCCGCCGGCACCGGCTGATTCAACCCTGGCACAGGCTGCCCGGGCAAGTCCCGGCACGGGGCTGCGGCTGCCACGGCAGAGCCCATGCAGCCGGCTCCAAAGGCAGTGGGGCTGGATCCGGACCCTTCCATGGGGCTGCGGCGCATCCCTGGCTCCCACATGGGAAGACGGAGCAGTGCCCGTGGGGAGACGGGGACAAGGGGCTCCGTCCCCTTCCCTCCTGCTCCGGAGATGGAAAAAGCATCGGCAAAAGCCAACAGCCCCGATCCCAGTTGCCAAAATGGTTTCCTGCAGGATGGCTGCGGGACCCACCGTGGTTCCATCCCCTCCACTGAAGGGCTTTGGGGACAGGGGACCCCAGGGGTACAATGGGGGTGACCTGGGGTCCTGCCCTGCACTGCTGGCTGCTGAACACAGTGAGGACAACCCGGAGCCAGGGATGGATCCATGGGAACAGCTCTGGAATGAGGGCATGTGGATGGTGGGGTCACCCCAGGCAAGGAGGGAACCCCAGGATGGGGGCCACCACTGGTCCCACAGGCAGGGTGGGATGAACCGGGCAGGGTTTGTGTGTCCCTATCCTGCCCCCCACCGCCACATCTCAGCCCTGGAGCATCTTTTGTGGCCTTTATTACCCTGCAGCAGCCAATGGTCATCTTTAAGATACATCACGGCCATGGTGACGTGCGGGACCCAAGCTGCCACCAAGGGGGGACAGGCAGGTCCCCACCACCCTCCCCAGCACCACTGGAACCTTCCCTTGCCTCCTTCCCCCTTGTGCAGCCACCGAGTGCATCCACAGCCTGGGCTGGGGCCAAGCAGGGTGGCCTGTGCCTCGTCCCCATCCCTTCCTATCCTGTCCCCATCCCTCCTGCCCCATCCCCATCCCTCCTGCCCTGTCCCCTTCTCTCCTGCCCTAGAAATCTGGGGCCAAGTGGCTACATCCCTCCATCCAAGCCCCATCCAAGCCCCATTCAAGCCCCATCCAAGCCCCATCCAAGCCCCATCCAAACCCCATCCAAGCCCCATCCAAGCCCCATCCAAACCCCATTCAAGCCCCATTCAAGCCCCATTCAAGCCCTATTCAAGCCTCATCCAAGCCCCATCCAAGCCCCATCCAAGCCCCATCCAAGCCCCATTCAAGCCCTATTCAAGCCTCATCCAAGCCCCATCCAAGCCCCATCCAAGCCCCATTCAAGCCCTATTCAAGCCTCATCCAAGCCCCATCCAAGCCCCATCCAAGCCCCATCCAAGCCTCATCCAAGCCCCATCCAAGCTCCATCCAAGCCCCATCCAAGCCTCATCCAAGCCCCATCCAAGCCCCATCCAAGTCCCATCCAAGCCTCATCCAAGCCCCATCCAAGCCCCATCCAAGCCCGCCTGCAAAAGCCACCAGCAAAGGGACCATCCTGACCTCAAACCACCCGGTGCCACCCTGGCTCCTTCTGACGGTGCCTCCCAAGGCTCTGGGGCTCAGCCGGGGCATGCAGTGATCACGCCAGGCCTCAGCCCCACACATGAGCCCTGTGTCCCCCCCCTGCCACCCCCCCCATCACCCCCCTTCCCTCCCTTTCAGTTTGGCTGCTTTGGAGAGGGGAGGGAAGGGGATGGGGGAGGAAAAACCCACCGAGAGGAAGCGAATCACCCAGAAAATGAATAAATATTGCAATGCGAGGCGCAATCACGGCGAGTGATTGAAACGGGGGGGAAGAAGAATGGGATTCATTTAGGGAAGATACAGGGAATTATGTAGGGAGAAATGAAGAGGGATGAAACCCATCCAACATCTCAGCGTGCAGGGATGTGAATGGCACCAACACCCCCCAGCTCCTGGGGCCTGGAGAGGGGGGGGAACCCAAATTCTCCCCCCCCCCCCCCCAACAGCACCCAGCTTGGAAGCAAGAGGCAAACTTGGCAATGGGGAGCACGATGGGATGGGGTTGCTCGGGTGGGAATTGGGGGTCACAGGGACACCACCCCCCCCCAGCCGGTAGCTGCTGTTGGGAATCTCCCTCTTCCCAAGCAGCGATGCCAGAGCCGGGCCCCTCTCACCGACGGGATCCACATGGCACAGGGCGGGAGAGCGGCAGCTTTTGTTCCTGGGAGGGCAGCGGAGCCCCACGGCGCGGGGGAGCCTGGGACGTGCCCCCCCCCGGCCCCCTATAAGAGGCTTTACACGCTCCTTTAAACCCCGGGTCGAGTCGGAGCCTTTTTTCCCTCCTCCCGGCATCTTAGCAACGCCGCCTCCTTAATTAAAACTGAGATTGGATTTTGGAGCTGGGAAGGAGCCGGAGGCCGCGCAGGGGGGGGGGGATGAGGAGCGGGGGGGACGGGACCTGGGCACGGGGTAATGCCCAGCTCCAGCCCTGCTGGGACCTCAGCAGCGTGCTGCACGCATGGATCACATCCCCCGGCCCCTCATAGGGAGGCTGAGCTTTGGGGAGGCCCCGTGGGGCCGGGAGGGTGCCCCCCACCCAGCTCCTCCCGCTTGGCCTGACCTTGGCTACAGACACCCCCACCCCCCCCATGCCTCAGTTTCCCGAGAGGGTGCAGGGATTTGGGGGTCCGATCTGGGGGGTTTAATGCGGGGGGGGGGCAGCAACCTCTGGAAGGCAAATGGGGGGCAAAGGGGGCCCCATGCTGCCCCGAGCACGAGGAGTGGGAACTGGGGGCCTCAGAGACACCCACCCAGAGACACCCCCCCCCCCCCCCGATCCCCATGGATGGGCTCCCCACCAGCATCGCCGTGGCCGGGTCCTCACCACCCTCAGCCCTGGGTGTCCACCCACCCAAAAGACGGGGTGCCCAGGGCCGGGTCCCCATTGCTGGAGCACCCTGGGGTGCCCTCGACTCCTCCCCCCCCCCCTCCATTCCCACATCCCAGCCCCGCTGCTCACCCACACCCCTCATCCCGCACCACCGGCGGCACAGGGAGCCCCGCGGGCCCCCCCCCCAGCACCCAGATGAGGGGGGAACCCACAAGCCCTTGACCCCAGAGCGGGGCAGAACCGGTGGGGGGGAACCGGCGCATCCCCAGGGTGGGGAGAACCGGACGCGGCTCCGCCGGGACCCCCTCCTAACGGCTGGGGAGGGGCCCACGAGGAGCGGCCGCGGGGAACCGGGAGATGCTCCGGGGGTACGGGGGGGGGAGCCCAGCGGCCCCAGAACCCCCCGGCCCGACCCGCGCCGCCGGTTCCCGAGGGATCGAAGCCGCCGCGCTCCCCCCTCCCGGTCCCGTTCCCGTTCCCGTTCCCGTCCCGCCGGGATCGGAGCCGCTGCCCGCGGCGGGGCTGGAGCGGTGCCCGCGGAGTTGGGACTCGCACTTCGGGCGGCCCCGCGCTGCCCGGCGCCGCTCCCCGCTCCCGGTGCCCGGTGCCGGTACCCACCTTGCCCGCGGGTCCCGGCGGCGCTGAGCAGGCAGAGGAGGATGAGGAGGCTCCGCATGCTCCCGCCCCGGCCGCGCTCCGGGAGGGGGGTGGCCGCTGCCCCGCTCCGCGCCCGGAACCGGCCACAGCTCGGCCCGGGGGGGGGGCCCGGCACCGGCACCGGCACCGGAACGGCCCCGCTGCGAGCGCGAGAGCCCCGAGAGCGGCGGGGGCGGGGCGGGGGCGGGGCGGGGGGGGGGGGGGGGGGGGGGGGGGGGGGGGGGGGGGGGGGGGGGGGGGGGGGGGGCTGCAGCCGGGGGGTGTTGGCGCGTGTTTGGGTGCACGCGGGTGCCTGGTGGGGTGGGCACGTGTGGGTTCGGGCATGTACATGTGTGTTGGGGTGCATGCATGTGTGTTCGGACATGTACATGTGTGTTCGGACACGTACATGTGTGTTGGGGTGCATGCATGTGTGTTCGGACATGTACATGTGTGTTCGGACACGTACATGTGTGTTGGGGTGCATGCATGTGTGTTCGGACATGTACATGTGTGTTCGGACACGTACATGTGTGCTGGGGTGCATGTGTGTGTGCTTGGACATGTACATGTGTGTTTGGACATGTACATGTGTGTTGGGGTGCATGCGTGTGTGCTTGGACATGTACATGTGTGTTCGGACACGTACACGTATGTTGGAGTGCATGCATGTGTGCTCGGACATGTACATGTGTGTTTGGACATGTACATGTGTGCTGGGGTGCATGCATATGTGTTTGGACATGTACATGTGTGTTCGGACATGTACATGTGTGTTCGGACATGTACATGTGTGTTGGGGTGCATACGTGTGTGTTCGGACATGTGCATGTGTGCTGGGGTGCATACGTGTGTGCTTGGACATGTACATGTGTGCTGGGGTGACCACATGCGTGCTTGGACATGTACATGTGTGTTGGGGTGCAGACGTGTGTGCTTGGACGTGTACATGTGTGCTGGGGTGCATACATGCGTCTTGGGCTGCATACGTGTGTGTTTGGACATGTACATTTGTGTTGGGGTGCATACATGTGTGTTTGGACATGTACATGTGTGTTGGGGTGCGTACATGTGTATTGGGGTGCATACGTGTGTTCTTGGACATGTACATGTGTGTTGGGGTTCATACATGTGTGTTGGGGTTCATACATGTGTGTTTGGACATGTACATGTGTGTTCAGGTGCACACATGTGTGTTGGGGTGCATACATGTGTGTTTGGACATGTACATGTGTGTTGGGGTTCATACATGTGTGTTGGGGTACATATATGTGTGTTTGGACATGTACACGTGTATTGTGGTTCATACATGTGTGTTTGGACATGTGCATGCATGTTTGGGTGCATGCATGTGTGTTGGAGTTCATACATGTGTGTTGAGGGTGGTACATGTGTGTTGGCGTGTGCCCAGGTGTATTGTGGTTCATACATATGCGTAGGGGTATATATATGTGATGGGGTTCATACATGTCTGTTTGGACATGTACACGTGTGTTGGCGTATGCACATGTGTTTTGGAGTTCATACACGTGTGTTGGAGTGTGCACAGGTGTGTTGGGGTTCATACACGTGTGTTGGAGCGTGCACAGGTGCGTTGGGGTTCATACACGTGTGTTGGAGTGCATACATGTGTGCAGGTTTCATACATGTGTTGGGGTGCATGCATGTGTGCTGCGGCTCATACCTGGGTGGATCACACGTGTCTTGGGGTGTGTATATGCCTGTCGTGTGGGTACATGGGTGCTGGGGTTTACACGTGTGTGTTGGGGTGCGCACATGCGTGTGTGTGTGTGATTGCTGGGGTGCTTGCATCAATGTCGGGGTGTGCATCCACCGGGGTGGGAGGGACCTTAGGGCTCATCCAGCTCCAAGGGCAGGGACCCCTTCCACCGGAGCAGGATGCTCCAACCCCTGTGTCCAACCTGGCCTTGAGCACTGCCAGGGATGGGGCAGCCACAGCTTCTCTGGGCACCCTGTGCCAGCGCCTCAGCACCCTCCCAGGGAAGAGCTTCTGCCTAAGAGCTCAGCTCAGTCTCCCCTCTGGCAGGTTAAAGCCATTCCCCTGGGCCTGTCCCTGCATCCCTTGTCCCAAGCCCCTCTCCAGCTTTCCTGCAGCCCCTTTAGGCACTGGCGCTGCTCTGAGGTCTCCCCTTCAGGAGCCTTCTCTCCTCCATGTGGCAGCAGGGGCACCACGTTTTCAGCTCTAAAAGGCTCTTCTAGAGCCCCCCCCCCCCCCGCCCTGGCCATAGGGAGCACCCTGGGGTGCAGCTCCCTGTCCCAATGGCTGTGGGTGTCCCATGTCCCCTGCATCCCAGGGGTGATGTGCGAAGTGGCCCTCAGCTCCCTCCTCTTCCTTGGGGTCTTCCTTCAGCTTTCCTCAGGGACCTGCTGCTCACAGGGGGAATGCCACGGAATCGGATGGAGCTGGGGACCCCCAAACCCAGCCTGGCCCAGCCCCGAGGGCACCAGGAGCCATCGTGGTGGCTGCAGGAGCCGAGATGGGTGATGGCAATAAAGAGGTGGCTCGGGGGTGACACAGGTTGTGTCCGGATGGGCACGGGAGGGGGGGGGACATGGGAGGTGTCCATGGGGACAGCGTGGCCCTGCCATTCCCGGGCATTGGCCAACTGTCCCCTTGGCACTGGGGGCTCTCCTGGGATACAGGGAGGAATCTGAGTGGGAGAGGAGATGACGTGGGGAGGAGGATGAAGGAGTTTGTGGAGCAGGGAGGAAGAGGAGAGAGGTCAGGGAGGAGTGGCGGTGGCCGGGAATGTGCTGACGGCAGGGAAGGAAAAGCTGCCACGTTGGCTGCTCGGGAGCACTCCCTGGGATGAGGGGGAGCAGCAGTGCGGGACCCCCATAAGCCCATAGTGGCCTGGGGGGCAACCCCCCCCCCCCCCCGGTGCCCAGCATCAGGCCCATCACCCTGGCATCGGGGCGCATGGAGCAAACCCATCCTCACCGGCTACCCCAGCCCCGGGAGGGGACAGCCCTGTGGCACTGTCCCCAGCGTGCCCATGGGCTCAGCGGGACCTGGGGGGGGGGGGGGGGGTCCCAGCCCTGTGTGGAGCTGGGAATGGCTCTGGCAGTGGCTGCGTCGGGAGGCAGAGCGGGATCTCCCGCGGTGCGCGGCGGCCCATCGGTGCCAATGATAATAACAATCATCATCATATTTATACGGAGCCTGATGGCTCCGAGCAGCTTCCAGAATCCATTTGGAGGCAGCCGCTCGCTTTCCCTCATTCCCAGCGAGGTGCTGGAGCAGAATGGCCAAGGAAGCTGCTTGTTATCCGGCCCTGATCCGCAGCCGGGGGGGCCCAGGGTGGTGCAGTGCCCCATGGTCCCATGGTGGTGGAGGTGGGATGGAGGGGAAGGGACGGAGGGGTTGGGATGGAGGGGAAGGGATGGAGAAGGGATGAAGGGGAAGGGATGCAGCGGAAGGGACGGAGGGGTTGGGATGGAGGGGAAGTGGATGGAGAAGGGATGAAGGGGAAGGGATGGAGAAGGGATGAAGGGGAAGGGATGCAGGGGAAGGGATGGAGGGGTTGGGATGGAGGGGAAGGGATGGAGAAGGGATGAAGGGGAAGGGATGCAGGGGAAGGGATGGAGGGGTTGGGATGGAGGGGAAGGGATGGAGAAGGGATGAAGGGGAAGGGATGGAGGGGAAGGGATGGAGAAGGGATGAAGGGGAAGGGATGCAGGGGAAGGGATGGAGGGGTTGGGATGGAGAGGAAGGGATGAAGAGGAAGGGATGGTGGGATTGGGATGGAGAAGAAGGATGGAGGGGAAGGGATGGAGGGGAAGTGATGGAGAAGGGATGCAGGGGAAGGGATGGAGGGGAAGGCATGGAGGGGAAGGGATAGAGGAGTTGGGATGGAGGGGAAGGGATGGAGAAGGGATGAAGGGGAAGGGATGGAGGGGAAGGGATAGAGGGGTTGGGACGGAGAGGAAGGGTTGGAGAGGAAGAGATGGAGAGGAAGGGTTGGAGAGGAAGGGATGAAGAGGAAGGGATGGTGGGATTGGGATGGAGAAGAAGGGTGGAGGGGAAGGGATGGAGGGGAAGTGATGGAGAAGGGATGCAGGGGATGGGATAGTGGAGGGGTTGGGATGGAGGAGAAAGGATGGAGGGGAAGGGATGGTGAGGAAGGGATGGAGGAGAAGGGATGGAGGGGAAGCAATGGAGAAGGGATGGAGGGGATGGGGGTTTCACTTCCCGCTTGCCAGGGCACAACACCAGGGAGCACAACAGTAACGTGAGGTGCGTTTTGGCTCCTGAGAAGCTCCTTGGCAAGGAAAAGTGGATGAATCCCCACTGAAATCAGTGGCCAGGCAGGAAAAGTCTGTTCCCAGCCCCATGGGAGCTCTCTTTAGGATTCTCATTCCTTCTTCCCTTTGACCAGCACCCGTGGCTCCCACTGGTGCCCCCTCCATCCCTGTGATCCCCTGTGCTCCCAGCTCCTGATGTGCAGACGAGGGGGATTTGCAGAGAGCTGCAGGAAACTCGATTTCCTATGGAAAATCAGCTTCTCTTCACTCCGGCCTCCTTCCCCCAGCCAGTAACTCCTTGGCTGCTTGGAAAGAGATTTCACAAGCGGGTCAAAGTCACAGGGATAAAGGAGACGGGGTGAGAAGGGAGATGGATGCTGTAGGGATGGCGCTGTCCCCAGGGATTCACCTGGTCCAGCCCCATCTAGGAGAGAGGTGCTGGTAAAGCCATCACTGGGGGTTAAACTGCTCTTGTTTACATCATTGTCCCCCTAAACCACCACTCAATTATTAAAGCCACCAGTGGAGCAGGCCAGACGCAGCGGTGATGGGCGAGCGGGACCCAGAGGAGAAGCCAGGGGAGCTTCGATGCTGCTGGAGCATCCCCAGCGAGACCCGTGCCCATCCCCTCCATGGGGGCAAATCCCATTGTCCCCCTATGGATAACTGCAGCACCTCAGTCCCACGTTAACCCCCATCTCTTGCACACGGGTTTTCCTTCCTCCTGCCTCCCCTCCTCAAATCCAGCATCCGCTGGGAATGGTTTCATGGCACTTCCCCTTCCCATCACCCCGTGAGGTCGAGCCCTGCTTTAACGTACCATTTGAATCAGCTCTGCTCCTGGAGTAAGAGGCAGAGATCCATCGGAAGAAGCTGCAGTTACCATGGGATGGCTACACCATGACCCTGGGATTGCTGCGGGACCCTGGGATCACTGCAGGACCTCGGGATCACTGCAGGACCTCAGCATCACTGCAGGACCTCGGGATCACTGCAGGACCTCAGGATCACTGCAGGACCTCAGAATCACTGCGGGACCCTGGGATCACTGCAGGACCCTGGGATCACTGCAGGACCTCAGGATCACTGCAGGACCTCAGGATCACTGCAGGGCCTCAGCATCACTGCGGGACCCTGGGATCACTGCAGGACCTCAGGATCACTGCAGGACCCTGGGATCACTGCAGGACCCTGGGATCACTGCAGGACCCTGGGATCACTGCAGGACCTCGGCATCACTGCAGGACCCTGGGATCACTGCAGGACCCTGGGATCACTGCAGGACCTCAGGATCACTGCAGGACCTCGGGATCACTGCAGGACCTCAGGATCACTGCAGGACCTCAGGATCACTGCAGGACCTCAGGATCACTGCAGGACCCTGGGATCACTGCAGGACCTCAGGATCACTGCAGGACCCCGGGATCACTGCAGGACCTCAGCATCACTGCAGGACCTCAGCATCACTGCAGGACCTCAGGATCACTGCAGGACCTCAGCATCACTGCAGGACCTCAGGATCACTGCAGGACCCTGGGATCACTGCAGGACCTCAGCATCACTGCAGGACCCTGGGATCACTGCAGGACCTCGGGATCACTGCGGGACCCTGGGATCACTGCAGGACCTCAGCATCACTGCAGGACCCTGGGATCACTGCAGGACCCTGGGATCACTGCCTGACCCTGGGATCACTGCAGGACCTCAGGATCACTGCAGGACCTCAGCGTCACTGCAGGACCTCAGCATCACTGCAGGACCCTGGGATCACTGCAGGACCTCAGGATCACTGCAGGACCTCAGGATCACTGCAGGACCTCAGGTTCACTGCAGGACCCTGGGATCACTGCAGGACCTCAGCATCACTGCAGGACCCTGGGATCACTGCAGGACCTCAGGATCACTGCAGGACCCTGGGATCACTGCAGGACCTCAGCATCACTGCAGGACCTCAGGATCACTGCAGGACCTCAGCGTCACTGCAGGACCTCAGCATCACTGCAGGACCCTGGGATCACTGCAGGACCTCAGGATCACTGCAGGACCTCAGGATCACTGCAGGACCTCAGGTTCACTGCAGGACCCTGGGATCACTGCAGGACCTCAGCATCACTGCAGGACCCTGGGATCACTGCAGGACCTCAGGATCACTGCAGGACCCTGGGATCACTGCAGGACCTCAGCATCACTGCAGGACCTCAGGATCACTGCAGGACCTCAGGTTCACTGCAGGACCTCAGCATCACTGCAGGACCTCAGGATCACTGCAGGACCTCAGCATCACTGCAGGACCTCAGGATCACTGCAGGACCCTGGGATCACTGCAGGACCTCAGGATCACTGCAGGACCCCGGGATCACTGCAGGACCTCAGGATCACTGCAGGACCCTGGGATCACTGCAGGACCTCAGGATCACTGCAGGACCTCAGGATCACTGCAGGACCCTGGGATCACTGCAGGACCCTGGGATCACTGCAGGACCTCAGGATCACTGCAGGACCTCAGGATCACTGCAGGACCTCAGGTTCACTGCAGGACCCTGGGATCACTGCAGGACCTCAGGATCACTGCAGGACCCTGGGATCACTGCAGGACCCTGGGATCACTTTGGGACCTTGCTGTTGCTGCAGGACCCTGGGATTCTTGCCTGATCCCGGCGTCGTTGTGGGACCCTGGGATCAGTGCAGGGACCCGGGATCACTGCCTGGCTGGAAGGAGGGTACTGAGCATCCCAGGATGGGGACAGCCCCACGCCCAGTCCTTGCGGCAGACCAGGCTCCATCCCGGCTGGTACCCAGGACAGAGCAGCACCAGGGATGCTCTCAGGGTGGGCCATGACAGCGAAGGACACCCTCAGGTGTCCTGTTAGGGCTCTTCTTCCTCACAGTCCGTGTGTTCCCAGGCCTAATTCCTAACTCAACAGCAGGAGCGATGTCCTCAGGAGAGCATTTAGTCGGGAGATTGAATGAGGAATTTACTGCCAGCATTAAGACAGCACCAGATCACTTATTTATGAGAACTTCTTGACAGATCTGCTGCTCAATAATGGATGGCACGCAGCGTTTAGTCAGGGTCACCAGTGAATCATTCACCTCCTATCAACTACAGGAGGGGGGTCTGAGTGATGATCTCCCCCACGTTTGGGGCTGGAAATAGGAACCTGATGCTGTCTCCAGTGACGGCGGTGTCCCTGCATCCCCTTGCTTGGTGCTGGGATGGGTTTTGGTGCCAAAGGGCTGGTGGCTTTGGGAGGAAGAAGCGTTGACGCATTTAGAGCAGCTCCTTGTGCAAGAGATGAGGAAGCTGGGTTCACATCACATCCTCCAGGGGCTCTGAGCAGGGTAACCTCATCTTGCCCTGAATGGGGAAACCGAGGCAGCGGGGACGCTGTTCCCGGGGTCTGGAATCCAGGCTGGTCGCTGCCATGGGGATGGTCCCTGAGGAGTGGTGATGCTGGGGGGCTCAACCCCTGCTAAGACCCCGTTCCCTGCCTTGGTGCCTTTGTCCCTGGTCATGATGTGGACAGCGGCCACCAGCAGCACCAGCGGCACAAAGACCCCGGCCATGAGATACCCCTTCAGCAGGCAGTAGCGGTCCTGAGCCCCGCAGGACCCTGGATGATGCCTCCCACCCGTGTCCTGCGTCCCAGTGTCCCCAGCACCGGGCTCCGATGCTCCATGGGGATCCACTGTGCTCCTGATGGGTCCTTTGGTGTCACCAGTCCCGGGCACCAATGCTCCATGGGGATCCACTGTGCTCTCAACGGCTCCTTTGGTGTCACCAGTCCTGGGCACTGATGGTCCATGGGGATCCACTGTGCTCCTGATGGATCCTTTGGTGTCGCCAGTCCCGGGCATTGGCACTGGAGATCCATCTGAGGGCACAGGGCATGGTGTGAGCCATGGGGCTGTGGCAGGGGACAGGGGGCTGCCCTTGGGTACCACCAGGGCTGGTGCAGTGGGTGCAATGGGTGCAGTGGGTGCAGCAGGCATTGAAAGAGGAAGGGGGATTTCCCCACTGACCACATGCCCATCCTGAGCTCCTCCACACGGCCAAGGGGAAACGCTGAGGGCTGGGTGGGCTCATGAGCAGGGAGCTCGTGCGATGACAGCTCATCCCCTGCTGCAGGCTGGGAGAGAAGTGATGCAGAGCAGCCTGAGGAGGAGGACTTGGGGGTCTTGGTCCATGAGAAGCCTCCCATAACCTGGCTACAGTGTGAGCTGGAGCCCAGAACCCCCCTGTGCTGGGCAGCATCAACAGGAGGTGAGCAGCAGGGCAGGGAGGGGATCCTGCCCCTCTGCTCTGCTCTGCTCTGGGAGACCCCCCTGCAGCACTGGGTGCAGCTCTGGTGTCCTCAGCACAAGGACATGGAGCTGCTGGAACAAGTGCAGAGGAGGCCACGAGGATGAGCAGGGGCTGGAGCAGCTCCCATAGGAGCCAGGCTGGGAACATTGGGGCTGCTCAGCCTGGAGAAGAGAAGCTGCGTGGAGAGCTCAGAGCAGCTTCCAGCGTCTGAAGGGGGCTGCAAGGATGCTGGAGAGGGGCCTTCATCAGGGACTGGAGCGACAGGACAAGGGGTGATGGGTTCAGACTGAAACGGGGATTTAGGTTGGATGTTGGGAAGTTCTTCCCTGTGAGGGTGCTGGGACACTGGAATGGGCTGAATGGAGAAGCTGTGGCTGCCCCATCCCTGGCAGTGCTCAGGGTCTGGTTGGATGGGGCTTGGAGCATCCTGCTCCAGTGGAAGGTGTCCCTCCCTGTGGCAGGGGTTGGAGCTGAATGATCTTAAGACCTTTCCCAACCCAAACCATTCCATGATTCTATGATTCTATGCCTGGGGTGGACCCAACACAAGCCCGGTCCCCTCAACCCTCCTCCCTCCATCCTTGGACTCACCAAGAACCAACAAGGAGTAGCGAAAGGTCTTTGGGTTGGTGGGGTCAGACAAGGTGTCCACGACCACCTCGTAGCTCCCACTGTCCGATGGCTGCAGCGGATTGATTTGCAGCGAGAGGCTGTTGGGGTGGATGAGCAGCCGGCCCCGGAACTCAGGCAGGAAATCAGTGGTGAACATCCTCACCCTGGGCATGGCCTCAGCAATGTGGGTCCCTTTGGTCCTCCAGGTGACCCGCACGATGTCATGGGACAGGAGATGCAGGGCTGGGAAGGACAAGGATTGCCCCTTCAGCCCCTTCAGCAGCTCCACGGCACAGCAGAGACACAGACCTGCAAGGGGATGGTTGGGGTGGGGAGATGGTGAGGGTGGTCTCTGTCTTCTCCCTCCCAAAGCATCCCTAGGGATGGCGCTGTGCAGCTGGGATGCTCCAACCCATCTGCCCCGGCCTCCCAGACCCAAGAGCATCCTTACCCTCGGCTGCCACCAGCAGCACACAGTAGACAAGCGAGGTCCCAGCTCCAGCCATGTCCCCTCCGCATGTGTGGGGCTGAGCAGATGCTGCTGTCCCCGACCCATGGAGATGAGTCCCACGGGGGCAGGAAACCACCCGGCAGGGCTGGCAGAGGGGATTGCACAAGGTTTATCACCAGGATGGCCGCCGGTGCGTGCTGGTGGGTAAGGGAAGTGGTGGCTGGTGGTGGGACGGGCCCCATGGGGGAAGTGGTGGCAGCTGGTGCGTGACAGAACGTGCTGAGGAAGAAGAGGAAGGGGCAGCTCCCACTGTCCCTGCCCATGGCTTTAGATGGGCTTTAAGGTCCCTTCCAAGCCAAATCAGTCCAGGATTCCCTGTTCTGTCTTGTGGAGATGACGAATTTCCCAATGGAGGTGGTGGGACCAGCAGCTGGGGGTTCAGATCTCACTTGCTGGGTGGGACTGAGATGCTGGGTGGGCAGAGACGGTGCCAGTGTCCTTCCCCTGGGCATCCCAGCACTTTTCCCGTTGGGAACAGAGACCCGGAATTCCCAGGACAGGGGAATTTTCTGTGGGGAGGTTCAGTCCCTCTCCAAGATGCTCTTGGTGGGAACCTACAGGACCCATCCTCCATCCCTATTCCATCCCAAAGAGAAGCTTCCCATCCACTTACTGCTTCCCCCAAGGGATTTGGAACCAAGGCACAGCTCCAGGGCTCAGCTCCTGCGGGATGGGTGCTGGGGTGGTGGGAGGGTGGTGGTGGTTAAGGGACCCCAGCCAAGGGCCGGGCTGAGCCCCCCCATTGCCCGACCCATAGCGGGTGACGCGGAGCGCGGTCGGGTGCTGCCACCTCTCGGGCAGAGCCGCGCTCCGGCCAGGGAGAGCATTTTGGGTTCAATTGAGGTGATTTTGAGCTCTCCATAGTTGAGGTTTTTCCCCCTCCCATGCTTCAGGTGCAGGCGGGAGGCCACGGGGATGGGCTGCGAGAGAAAAGCACTCACAAAGGTGCCTGTTTGCGGGGGTGGGGGGGGCTTGGAAGGGTCCCCCCCGGGGTCCCCAATGGTGTTATCCAGGTGAAAACCCCGTCGGGGATGACCACCCCCTTCCCACTCCCACCTGCACATCCCAAACCGTGGTTTGGCCGCACCGGCCGCATTCCCGAGCACCGCAGGGATTCCAGAGGTGGGGAAGCAGCCTCGGCACAACCCCGTGACCCCCCCCCCAGCCGCCCTGTGCTTCTCCCAGAGCAAGTTTTGCTGGCAGGGGGATGAGGACCCGCGGATGATGCGCTGCATAAGAACACCCTCTGCAATGCGGTGCTTGCGGGAGGCAGCGTCTCCCCGTCCTCCTCAACGCTGCCTGCGCGATGTGCTAACGCTTCCCTTTCATTCCTGTCTCCCTTTCTTGTTTCCCAGCCTCTCCTGCGGATCCAGCTCCCTGGGCACAGCTCTCCCAGCCCGGGGAAGGTCTCCGGGAGGGAAATTGCTCCCTGCATGGGGAATGGAGCCTGGACAAAAGCTCTGATTCATCGGCTCAGCCCCGTCTCCGGCGCCGAGGTTCCAGCCTTGCAAGATGCTGCTTTTCCCTTTGTAGCCTTAATTAGGTTTTTGCTCGTCTGCCTGCGAGGGGGAGGAAGGGGCTGTGGAATCCAGAGGGAAAAGCTGACGGAGCTGTTCCAGCCGCCTCCATCCAGGCTTGTGATGGGGGTCAGGCCGTGCCTCAGTTTCCCCCACTGATGGCCCTGAAGCACTTGGTTGCGGATGGGTGATGGAGCAGGACCCATCGGCTTGTGCATCCCTTGGGCACACAGAAGGTTTCAATCTAGCAGGAAACCCGCAGGGCTGATCCCATCCCTCTCTGTTCCCAGTGCCGTGGCCTTTTCCCAAGATTTTTACTGGGAATCTGCCCCTTCCCCACCCGTTGGACCAGTTTTCCCATAGAACCAGCCAACGGCCCCTGCTGGGGGTGGCTGTTCTGCAAGTGGGGTCCCCATCTCCTCCCAGGCAGCACCCAGTTCCCAGCCACAGTTTTCCTGCCGACATCCAACCTGGGAATGGCTCAGGACCGCCTCAGAGGCAATGAGCTTACCATAAGGAGATTAGCAGGGCGGATCGGAGGGCAGAAGCAGACCGCGGGGCGATGGGATTAGAGGCCACCAGCATCCCATCGTGTCTCTTGCTCTCTTCCAGCAGCACTGCGGTGATGCTGCTGGGCAGGGGACAGTGTGGGGACAGGGGACACCGAGCCCCAGCAGGGCTGTGCTGGGTTTGTCCATCCCTGATGTCCCAGGAAAAGCCTGGCTCATAGGAAAAGCACTCTCAGGATGAGCTCATGGACATCTCGCACTGATCTAAGGAGGTGGCATCTGTTGGCTGGGGCTGGATAAGGGACGAGCAAACTGTGGCTGTGCACAGATAACACGATGCTCCTTCTGCCTCGTGCCCCAAAGGAAGAGTTGGGGTATTTGGGAGAGGGAAGAAACCTCTGCAGTGAGAGGGTGACATTCCAAGGTGCATTAACACAGGCTGGGTCCCCACATCCCGATCCCATCACAGGGTGGCTCCAGCCCAGCCCGGGGGGTCTGGCAGGATGGAGGGTGGTGGAGCCTGTCCCTGCTTGCCCAAAACCCAAGGGAGAAGCCCTTGGTGGTTGGAGGAGAGCATCATCAGCCCTTGGCCTGTTTGTTGTGTCCTCACCGTAAAACAGCCCGGAACTTGTCCAAGAACCCAAAATACAGAACATCTCTGGAAGAAAGAGTGTATTTGTCCTTAATCCATGCTCAAGCGGGTTAACAGCTCTCCATGGCTTAAAGCAGCTCATTTCTTGGGGTGTTTGAGGCTGGAGCTGATGCACAAAGCGGAGCAGGGGCTGGTGACTGCTTTGCAGGCTCCCACTTTGTGGGGATCCTACCCAGCACACAAAGAGCCAGGGACACGTCAGGGAAGGGATCCCTGCGGCCGGATGAGGACGTGCGTGATGGCCATGGTTGGGCAGCACCAGCAGAAAGAGCAGCCCCCTCTCTCTGCAGTCGTACCTCGGAGCGCCTGCAGAGGGAGAAACGTTCACGTTAACGATCCTGGATTCATGGAATGCTTTGGGATGGAAGGGACCTTAAAGCTCATCTAAAGGCACGGGCAGGGGCACCTTCCACTGGAGCAGGGTGCTCAGCACACGATGGGGTCAGCATCCCCGCGGAGCCGCCGGTGCAGCCGCATCCCCGCTGCAGGACCAGCTGTAGGAGACGGGGCCGGCGCCGGGCGCCGTGCAGAGCAGCGAGAGGTTGCACCAGCCCCGCGCCTCGGGCAGGACGAGGCTCTCCACATGGGGCGGCCCAAGGGGCTCTGCGGGGATGGACGCGCTCAGAGGGGAGCGGGCACGCGGGGCGCAGCGGCTGAGAGCCGGACACTCACCCCACACCGACACGCGGAAGCACCGCGGGCTGACACCGCCGCCTGCCTGCTCAAACTCGGCCTCGTAGAGCCCCGCGTCTGCCGCGAGAACCGGGCTGAGCCGCAGGGAAAGGGGCTCCTCCTGGAAAACTGCTCTCCCGCAGAAAGGGCTCTTGCACACGGAGGTGCCGTGGCTCCTCTCAGCCTCCAGGATCACCTGGTAGGACCCTGCGTCCACCCCCGTTCTCCACCTGACTCTTGACCATTCCCGCAGGGGGTTCTTTGGCAGCAGCTCCAGCGTTCCGTTGGCAGGCACGGCTTGCTCCTCACACTGCACGGGTCCTAAAGCAGAGAGGGTTGAGCCCGTCCCCATCCCCACCTCAGGCTTCCCCTTCCTCTGCCCACCCCAGGCTCCTTGTGCCTGCCCGCACCCTGCTCCTGCAGCACCCTTTGCCCTGCCCTGACCAGGGCCGGTTGCACCCCCTCTGACCACAGCATCTGCTCCTTCCTTTGTGCCCCAGCTCCTTCCTCGCAGATCCAGCCTGGGAAGCAGCAGGAACGTTGCCTGCTGGACCCTTTCTCTCACGAGTCTCTGTGCTCGCAGCCCTGCATGTCAACAGCTCTGGCATGAGGCACGATACAGAAAGCCCCTAAAGGAAATGAACGCCCCAGAACATCCTAAAGCAGAGGAGGGTGAGCAAGGGACTGGGAGATGCTGTGTGTCCGGGGAGGGGGCACAGCCCCGCTTTGCCCATCCCCATGATCTGGGGCTCACAGCCTCTCACATCCTCTGCCTTCAGCCCTGCCATGGGGGAGGCCAAGCAGAGGCTGGGAAACCACTTTCAGTTCCTCCTTTGCACCCTGTGCCTGCACTATACCTTCTACTGAGAAGGAGGCACTGTGCCCCGTGGGGGTATTTTCTCCCTATATATATCATTTAAGGCTCATAGAGAGGGAATCCCATTTCCAAAGGCCTGCCCTGGGCCTCCTCCTACAAGCAAACCCTCATGAGCAGAGCGTTGCTTTTCCTAGGTGTGCAATACTTGAAAGAAAATAAGGCCATGTTTTAACCAGAATTCCTTCTTCCTGCCCCAATTGAAGCCTTAATGAGCTTTTCAGCCCTTCCAAAAGGCCTTTTCCCTTCCAGCTCCTATTTGTTGGGTTTGATTTCTCACCCAAACCCCAAGTGACTGCTCTGACCCCATGATGAGCCATTCACTTGCAAGCAGAAGGAGAAATAAAGCCCAGCCAGCCCCAAGAGCAGGCTCCCAAGGCACTTCCCAGCCTCACAGGGGGGCAGAGGCTGGACACAACTCACTGCATCTCCTGTGGCAGGGCCACACTTACCTTGGGCTCCACAGGGGAGGAAGAGGGGGACGAAGAGGAGGAGGGTGCGATGCTCCATGGCTACCCCAGGGAAAGGTGAGAATCGGGGCCCTGGCTCTGCATCCATTGCCCCTCACATCTACTGGCTCCCGCATCCCCAGTCGCAGGGCTCCTTGCACTGGGCTCTGCTCCTCGATGGGCTGCACCCTGCTGCTGTGGCCTGCGGTCAGGGTGTAGGACCCGTCCGAACGTTACAAACTGTTTCTCTTCCCGAAGTGAGCCTCAAAGAGAAAGCACACACACACCCCCCCCCCGAACCCCCCCTTCCTCTGAGGTTTGCAGCCTCCGAGCCCTGCAGCCGCTCTCGCAGCGTGACCGCGGGGAGCCGGGACCCTGACCCCCCCCTCCGAGGGCTGGGCTGGGGGGGAGCAGCGCAAAGGCATCACCCGGAGGTGGAAGGTGCGGAGGAACCGTGGGGAGAGGAAGCTGCCTCAGGACGGAGCCGGCTCCGGGGGTGGGGGGGATTCACATCGGCTGCTCCGGAGCCGTCCCGAGATGCCCCAACACGGCGGGCCCATGGGTGGGGGTCCCTGGTGCGCGCTGGCGCTGCTGGTCCTGGCCCCGATGGTCACGGCCGGGGACCGAGGTGAGGAGGGGGCGCGGTGCTGGGCTGGGTGGGAGGTGGGGGCTCGCTTTGGGTGCAGGGGGAGCTGGTGGTGCTGAGCACAGGATGGGTGCAGGCATGGGGAGCTCTGGCTGCAGCCTGCACAAGGGATGGGTGCCGGCGGTGGTTGTGCCGCTCAGCCCGGGGTCCCTGCGCAGACAGAGAGGGTCTGGGTGGGAAGGTTTGGGCTGCTCCCGGTGTCCCATCCTGCCCGCAGCACACAGAGCCGGTTCCCTCCGCAGCCAGCGCAGCTGCGCTTGGGGCTTATCCAAAAGAAGTCATTTCCCTGTCGGAGCAGCACCCATGACCCGAGCCCAGACGTGGCTTTTCCTGTACCCAGAAATGCAGCTTTAGAGTAGCTCCAGTGCCTAAAGGGGCTCCAGGGAACCTGGAGAGCGGCTTTGGACAAGGGATGGAGGGACAGGCCAAGGGGAATGGCTTTAACCTGCCCGAGGGGAGACTGAGATGAGCTCTTAGGCAGAAGCTCTTCACTGTGAGGGTGCTGAGGCGCTGGCACAGGGTGCCCAGAGAAGCTGTGGCTGCCCCATCCCTGGCAGTGCTCAAGGCCAGGGGCTTGGAGCATCCTGCTCTGGTGGAAGGGGTCCCTGCCTGTGGGGCTGGATGAGCCCTAAGGTCCCTCCCAGCCATTCCAGGATTCAAGTCCCGGGTGCTCCCACTGCTCAGAGCTGCACCAGGTGGGTGCTGCAGAGCCTGCAGCAGCCGGGGCTCAGCTGAGCTGCAGAACCTGCCCGCAGCAGGGTTAAAGCACACAGCGTGGTTAGACCTGTGGAGCACTGACCCTGCAGCGTCTCACTCCCACCTCCGGGCTGCATTTCCCCTGCTCTGCACTCTCTCTGCTCCAGCACCACGGGCTGAGGGCAGGAAGGTGCCCTCCCACCTTTCTCGCAGCCTGCAAAGCTGCAGCATGCAATGGTCCTGGTGTCCTGGAGGCTCTTTAATACCTGGTATGGTGTGTGTGGGGTCCCCTTTGTCACCAACTGCAGGTCCTGGTGGGAACTGATCAAGAGTGGCTGCTCCTGAGCCTGCTCCTTCCTTTCCCCAGGGAGGATGCTTCTGTGTTTGCCTGCTCCAGCCCCTGGTATCCCTGGATCTGGTGGGCACAGGGATGTCCCACCTGCACCATGGGGCTGGTGGGGGCAGACATCCTCCTGCCTGTGCCTTTGCAACGCTGGAGCTGCTGGGGGTCTCCTGGCCATGCTCGCAGTGTTCACCCTGAGCATGGAGCCAAAACCCCGCCTAGGGCTGTTTGGGCTGAAGCCAAACCCCTGGGGGCTGATGCTTGGCTCCATGTATGTGCTGCAGCCCCAGCGCTGCTCTGACCACAAGAAGGAAGCCACAAGGCTCTGGGGTGTTTGCTCGTTTCATTTAGGGGCTTTTTGTATCGTGCCTCATGCCAGAGCTGTTGACACGCGGGGCTGCGAGCACAGAGACTCATGAGAGAAAGGGTCCCGCAGGCAACGTTCCTGCTGCTTCCCAGGCTGGATCTGCGAGGAAGGAGCTGGGGCACAAAGGAAGGAGCAGATGCTGTGGTCAGAGGGGGTGCAACCGGCCCTGGTCAGGGCAGGGCAAAGGGTGCTGCAGGAGCAGGGTGCGGGCAGGCACAAGGAGCCTGGGGTGGGCAGAGGAAGGGGAAGCCTGAGGTGGGGATGGGGACGGGCTCAACCCTCTCTGCTTTAGGACCCGTGCAGTGTGAGGAGCAAGCCGTGCCTGCCAACGGAACGCTGGAGCTGCTGCCAAAGAAACCCCTGCGGGAATGGTCAAGAGTCAGGTGGAGAACGGGGGTGGACGCAGGGTCCTACCAGGTGATCCTGGTGGCTGAGAGGAGCAACGGCACCTCCGTGTGCAAGAGCCCTTTCTGCGGGAGAGCAGTTTTCCAGGAGGAGCCCCTTTCCCTGCGGCTCAGCCCGGTTCTCGCGGCAGACGCGGGGCTCTACGAGGCCGAGTTTGAGCAGGCAGGCGGCGGTGTCAGCCCGCGGTGCTTCCGCGTGTCGGTGTGGGGTGAGTGTCCGGCTCTCAGCCGCTGCGCCCCGCGTGCCCGCTCCCCTCTGAGCGCGTCCATCCCCGCAGAGCCCCTTGGGCCGCCCCATGTGGAGAGCCTCGTCCTGCCCGAGGCGCGGGGCTGGTGCAACCTCTCGCTGCTCTGCACGGCGCCCGGCGCCGGCCCCGTCTCCTACAGCTGGTCCTGCAGCGGGGATGCGGCGGGCGCGCTGGAGCCTGGGCCCCGGCTGCACCTGCGGCTCCGCGGGGATGCCGACCCCATCGTGTGCTGCTGCAACGTGAGCAACCCGGTGAGCTGGAGCTCGGCCAACGCCGACATCTCGGCAGCCTGTCGCGCCGCGGTCGCCGGTAACTCATCCTCAGCTCCGTGCAGTCAGGGGTTAAGGGGTGCGCAGCCCCCTCTTGGAGCCGCTCTGGGTCCCAAGAGCACATCCCGCTGGTGCCAAGAAGCCGCTTCCCCTCCTGGGGGTGGAAGCACGGCACCGGCTGTGGGTGATGTACCCGCGCTGCGGTTTCCTGGCCGGGTCTGTCCTCTGCGGTGATGGAAACTGTTTAGAAACGGTTGAGGCTCATCAGAGATTTCTCCTTCTCCTCTTCTTCTCCCCCAGGGCTTTCCAGCATCGTTCTAGGCTGGGCAGTGGCTGCGCTGGTCCTGGCCATCGCCATAGCCCTCGTCATCACCTGCTACTGGCAGAGGAAACGCCGAAAGGATCCCCCGGAAGGTTTGTCCCTGTGCTTGTGGCACAGACTGATGTGGGGCCGGGCAGCTCCTGGATGCTGTCCTGGATGCTCCTCATGCTCTCTCCGTGCTGGCCCCGGGGCTCTTCCTCCTCCTGAGGCTAAGGGATAAGCCACTGGGTGCTGCCAGAGCACGAAGCCTTCACCCATCCCTGCCAACGGAGGGTGCCCTGGGCTGAGGCGTGGGTGAAGCAGCCCAGCAGCCCGGACCTGGAGGCCTCGTCCCATGGGGTCTGGAGGATGGTTTGGGCCTGGATATACACTTCATTCCAAGCTGCAGCATCCTTCTCCTGCCCATTGAGGGCTGCCGCCCCCAAACGGGGTCTGTAACCCCCAGTGTCTCACTCTGACCCTTCCACCTCCCCAGGACACATCGAGCAGACACTCACCGTCTACGAGGAGGTGGGAACAGCCCAAACAGGCCGAGACCAAGTGAGTGCTGGGGGGGTCCCTGGGGGTCCCCTCCTGGAGGGACAGGACCTCTGCTTGGGCATCCCTTTAACCAGCCTGGGGTCGCTTTCACCCTCAGAGCGCAACAAGGAATGAGGCCACATCGGGAGAGAACACCATCTATGCCGTCATCTGCAAAGCACAGGTAGGGCCAGGCCTGTGCTGGGGGGGGCTCGAGCTGTCCATGGGCTCGATTCCTTCACCTCCGCCTCAGAGTCCACCCCTTTTTGCCCAAACTTTGCTGTTCTTTGTGCATTTGGATGGTTCCTCCCTGCAGGGCCCCAGTCTCCCTCAGGAGCCCGAAAGCAGAACCATTTACTCCAGTGTCCAGCCCACCAGGAAGGTGAGGTTGTCCCGAGCCCATCACCAGGGTGCTGGGTTCATCCTGCTCTGCCTAATGGATGCTCTGCTCTGCTCCACAGTCTCCATCTCTCAGGAGGAAGAGGCTGGACCCAGCTTTGATTTCCACTGCCTATGCAGAGGTAACGGGCACCAGACATGGGAAGACGAGCATTGAGCTCATCACTTCTTTGGGGCTGGGGGGGGGGGCTAAACCCAACCATGTCCTTGCAGGTTACGGGGTGCCCCAGACGCCCCCATCACAGATCGTGCCCCCCGGCTCCTACCAGCCACCACCTCTCCTAGAGCCCCAGCAGGACCATCCCTTCCCCAATGGGCTCCTCTCGGAGCACCCAGAGCCCCCAGCACCCACCAGGATCCCACCCAGCAAAGCCAGGAGCTCCCTCGGGATGGAACCAGTCCAACAAGGGCTCAAACCCCAGCTGTGCCTCGGAGGCTCTTGTGACGGGAAGACTCGGTGATGGGAACCTGTCTTTGGAGGAGATGGAAGTGAAATTGGGCTGATGGGGTTATGGGGAAGGGGATAGACGTGGTGTACGTGTGTTTAGCTCCAGCATGTGATCGCGTGGGGTTTTGGGCCTTGGCAGGTCTGAAACACCTCAGGTGTCGATACAAGCTGAGCTGCATGAGGCAATGGTGGTGCTTGTTTAATTAGCTTTAATAGCTATTTATAGCCCTAGATGTACCTTGGGCACAGAGAGGAAGTGGGAATTGCCTTGTTTGTGACCCAGAAGTGATCGGAAGCCGGTGTGCAGAGGAGCATTGCAGAGCTGCAGTGAGCTGGGCAGGGGAGGGGTGGTCCTGAGCACCAGTCCCTGCACTAGGCATGGCTCAGGCTGCCCCACAGCGAGCTCAGACTGGGGACCCTGCCCTTGGTCCATCCTAAGTTATCCCGTGCTCCTACGTGAGTGGTCCTGGGAGCAGGAGGTGGAGGAAGAGGGGCTCCGGTTCCAAAGCTCTTCCTAAAGGCAACTTCAAGGGATGAAAACGCAACGGGGCACTTTGATGGAAGCAGCGCCCCTGCTCAGGCGTGATGGAGGGCATGCAAACCCTCCAGTGCGGGCACTGGGGATGGGGTCACATCCTCGTGGCTGAAGCAAGAGCCTCATCTCATTCCCTTTGTATCCCCAAACTCCGGTTCCCCATGCTCTGGGTGAGCAGAAGCATCTGAAGGCGACAGCGGGAGCCTGGGGGCTGCTGCCTCCCCCAGCACGGCTCTGCCGCCGAGCTCTAATTCATGCTAATGACCTGCTTTTGCATAGGGGAGATAATTTGCAGCTCCCTGCAAGCGCTGAGGCAGCATTTCGCTCCCTGCCAGGGAAGTTGCCTTCCCATCGCTGCGCTGGAGCGGGATGCGGGATCGGCTCGGTGCCGGAGCAGCATCCTCACGTGGCTGCCGTCGCGCTCGCGCTGACATCCCCTGGGGTGACCCTGGATCTGCTTCCCCATGGATGGGGGCTACTGAAGATGAAGTTAAACTGGGTCAGGGCCCAGCGGGTGCTGCCATTGCCCTTTGGTCCTGGTAGCTTCGGTCCCGGTGCTCCGTGCTCACGGTGGGATGGGGAGTGGGAAGATGCCAACGGCCATGGGGGCTCTGCCGCTCCCTGCACCCCTGGGCTGGTGCGGAACAAAGGAGGGATTCAGGACTTCATTGAGTCCTTTGCTTTAAGCACCTGCCCTGGTCGAGGCCAGCAGCAGTGTACTGGGGCTGCAGCACATGCTGTAGCATCCACAAATACTCCTTCCCATCATCCCCTTCCCACCTGCACCGGCTGAAGTGGGGTCACGGGGATGCCCCAGACTGGTGCTGGTGATCCCTGCTCAGGGGAGGTTTTCAGCTCAAGTTTTCATTGTGCACATGGGATTCATCCCAGTGCTGCAGGAAACCTGGAGAGGGGCTTGGGACAAGGGATGCAGGGACAGGGCAAAGGGAATGGCTTTAACCTGCCCGAGGGGAGACTGAGATGAGCTCTTAGGCAGAAGCTCTTCCCTGGGAGGGTGCTGAGGCGCTGGCACAGGGTGCCCAGAGAAGCTGTGGCTGCCCCATCCCTGGCAGTGCTCAAGGCCAGGTTGGACACAGGGGCTTGGAGCATCCTGCTCCAGTGGAAGGGGTCCCTGCCATGGTTTTCGATGAGCTTTAAGGACCCTTCAACCTGAACCATTCCATGGTTCTATAAAACACAGCACCTTTCCCCACAGCTTCAGTGGATGTGGTGCTGGCTGAGGGGCTCCGTTGTGAAACCAGTGACTTGTGTGTGAGGAGAGCTGAGAAGCACCCAGGCAAAGCAGGGGTGAATTGCCATGGCGCTGGCACTGCTCTGATGCTTTCCATGGGTAGGTGATGCTCAGCACCAGGTTTCTATCCTGGCACATCAGGCATGCAAGCAAGGGCTGGACTTGTGCGCTCTGTGAGCCGTGGTCCAGGAGGCCCAAGAGCAGGCAGGAGAGAGGCAGTACATAGATGGGGTTATACGTGGCAAAGCAAGGGCAGATTGCCACGTTGGTGGCACCATTACAGAGCTTTCTATGAGCAGGTGATGCTCAGCACCAGTTTTCTCTCCTGGCACCTTGGGTGTTGTATCAGGGGCTGGATGTTCGTGCTCTAGGACACCCGGTGCACTCAACAGTGGGGTAGCCCTCAGATGAAGTTCAGATGGCAAAGCAAGGCTGGATCTCCATGTTGGTGGCACTATTCTGAAGCTCTCCATGTGTAGGTGATGCTCAGCACCAGTTTTTAGTCCTGGCACTTTGGGTGTGGGAGCAGGGCCTGGATGTTTCCATGAATCCCTTTGGTTTGTGGGCTGCCTGAGAGTGCTATCCTGAGCTCAGCACACAGATGGAGTTTTAGGTGGCTAAGCAAGGGCTGATTGCTGGGTTGGGGGCAGCAGTCACCATGTGTAAGTGGTGCCCAGCACCAGTGTCTGACCTGGTGCACAGGTTCAGGAGCAGGGGCTGGATGTCTGCACTTAGGGCACTGTTTTCTGGGCCCCATGAGAATGCATTCGACGCAGGCAGTACGCAGATGGACTTTGATGTGGCTAAGCAAGGGTGGATTGCCGTGTTGGTGACACTGGTCCGGAGGTCACCGTGTGTCCGTGCTGCCCAGCACCACGTTTTTGTCCTGGCGCTTTAGGTTTGCGAGCAGGGCTGAATGTTTGCACTTAGCGAGCTGCTTTGTGGGCTGCCGGAGAGCACTGCCCTGAGCCGTGGGTCTGCGAGGTCTGATGGGGTGCATTGAGCCCCCCGGCGCTGGGCCGGTGCCAGGGCTGCTCCTCGCTGCTGTGCTTGTCCATGGGCAGCCTTGCCCCGTGCTCACCGTCCCTAAGGAGCCGCCGTGGGCTGTGCCCTGGCCCCGGGGCGCCGGGTCGGGACAAGGCGCTCCAGGACCCTGCTTGTGGGACCGGGAGCGGTTCCCGTGTTTGTGTGAGCGGTGCCTGCGGGGATGCGGGTGATGCGATGGGGAGCGAGGGAGGAGCGAGGCTGAGCCCTCCCCAGGGGATGGAGCCGGGCCCGCTCCTTCCTGGGAGCAGGGAACGCGTTTCCAGGCTGTGCCCGCGCAACCGGGTCCGTTCTGAGGCACCAGCGCGGCGCAAAGCGCAGCCGGGAGCCTCGGGGCTTCCGTCGGTGCCGGGGCTGGAGCTGCCCCCGGCTTTGCTGCTCGGGGCGCTCCGTGCGGGGGTCACTGCCCACAACCGGCCCCGTGGGGCTGCGGCTGCCGTGAGGGCCGGGGATGGGTCCGGATGGGTCCCGGTGCGCGCAGCCCGGAGGGTCGGAGCCTGGCGCCCTCAGCCGAGCCGGTCCCCGGCCCCTTCCCCAGCGGTTTGGGGCTCCAGAAGAGCCGGGCCCGAGAGCGGCGACCGGCCCCGGTCCGTGCTGCGGGGCTGGAATCGGTGCTGCGGGGTTGGAACGAGCCCAGCGCTCCCAGGACGCGGCCACCGGGGGGCTCCGGGCACCGCTCCCCGAGAGAGGGAGCCCTTTGCCGTTTCTCCCTTCCCCATCGCTGCTTCCTTAGCAAGGTAACTGCTGGGTTTAGGTAAGTGACCAACGAACCTCTTTGATGAGCAGCATTTGGCCTCGTTCGTGTCCTAATCTCACTCTGGGTGTAACAACCAGGTCAACGCCAGGGGATCCGCCAACAGGGATGAACTTTTACTCACTGCAGAGTGGGATGAAGTCCCTGTGGTGCACATGAAGGATGTGCTGGGGAAGACAGCTCTGGGTTATTCCTGCTTCAGGTGAAGGCAAACCCACTCGTGGGGTTGCTTTGGCTCAGGGACCCGGGTATACTTGGTGGGTAATGCGGGAGGATGGGGAAGTCCGATGTTAGGAGTGAAGCATCACTTGTGGAGGGGGGTCCTTACGTGGGGGAGCCAGGTGAGAAGTCCAGACAGAATTCCACCCATTCCTGCCTCCAGAGACCAGACAGTGGGTATTGAACAGCAAAAGTGATCTTTTATTTCTCAAAGAACGTCTGCAATTGCATCAGCATTGCCCAGAGAGGGAGTGATTCCAGTGTCATCGTACCCAGGGCTGAACTGGAGAGAGGGGAGCATGGTTTCCATTGTGGGCAACCTCTGTTTGAGCTGGGGGTCCCACAATTCTGCTCTGAAACCCCCAAACAACCCCACTTTCCCCCCAAAAGAAGTCCCCAAGTGCCTATAAATCGCATCCCAGCATCCTCCCATGCAAAGGCTCCCTCCCAGCCTGCAACAGGCTGATCGCTGCCCACAGGGGCACAAAGTGGTTCTTGAGGTCGGTAGTTCTGGGGTGGTGGATATCCTGGGGTAGATCCTGAGGTGGATCCCTCAGGAATGCCGTGTCTAGATGAGGGGGTAGGAGGCATAGCTGGCGATCCCACAATGGTTCGAGTGGTTCCTTGCCATGCGGATGTAGCCCTCGTCTCCGAAGAGCACGCCCCAGCTGGATGGGACAGGAAGCAAAGGGACACAAGGAAACGTTAATGCCCTTCCCTGGAAGTGAAGCAGCTTCGTCCTCATCCCAACAGGAAAGGGTTTTCATCAACCGCTTCCTAGGGCTCCTCATCCCATCCTGGGGTTGGATGAGCTCCAGATCCCTTCAACCCCAATGGATCTGTGTTGCGTTACATCAACACTCATCAGCATAAGGGGAGCTTAAGGTGGGTGTAAAGTGGAGTTGAAAAGCATTTAAAGGTCCTGGGATGACATGAAGGTGCTCCCCAGCATGATTCCAGGACCAAGAGCAACTTCCAGCTCTGTAACAGCCCCTGTTGCATCCGGCTCCCTCCCATCTGTATGGATATTGGACACTGAGACGCTGTGAGGGCTTTGGGTTAAGCAGTGGGAGGTCAATGAGGAGAAGACATTGCCTACAGGCAGTGAGGCTGGAGACAAGGAGCGATGGGTGGTTGTGTCCTTACCTGTTTTTCACTAGCCAGTAATCCTTGTCCTCCAGGGTGCCGTAGCCGATGACGAGCACCCCATGGTTCACCTCCTGTAAGCACTGGGGGTCATCGTACACCCCTGGAGCAAAAGGAGGTTGGAAACACATCGTCAGGCCACAAGACCTCATCCTGGAGGCAAAGCCAACCTTCACCACAGTGCTGCTGCCTCGGGCTTTGGCATATTGGTGCGTCCAACCAGGAGCTCAGCTCCAGCTTCATGGAAGCATGGAATGGTTTGGGTTGAAGGGAGCTTAAGGCTCATCCAGTCCCAACCCCTGCCAGAGGAAGGGACCCCTTCCACTAGAGCAGTTTGCTCCAAGCCCCTTCCAACCTGGCCTTGAACACTGCCAGGGATGGGAGCCAAAGCTTCTCCATTCAACCCATTTCAGTGTCCCACCACCCTCAAGGGAAGAACTTCTGCCTCAGACCCAGGAACTTGCCCAATCCCACCCAATTTCAGGCGCTTTATGTGCAGAAAAGGCTGTGAAGAAGATTACCAGGACGGACCTGACTTGTACAAGAAGAAGGTGGGCTGGGTGGCATCAATGGCAACAGAAACTGGTCCAACATTGGCCACAGCATCTTTGAGAGCTTCTTCATCAGCATAGGGCAGCTCAATGTACTTGGAGCAAGTGGCAGCCCGTGCGGAAGCGTTGTATTGGCACGTCCCGTTCTGGCAGGAACAAAAGGGAGTTGAGGAGCACCAGGAATGCACCAGGAACGTCTCGGGACCCTCAGGTGTGTGGTTTCCATCAGCCCCCTTCTACCTTCTACCCTGTTCCTCACTTTCTTTTCTTTGACCACCATTGCTCCATACTACATCCAGTATGTCTGTAGTACCACATACTACCTACGTACTACTACATCCAGTATGTCTGTAGTACCACATACTACCTACGTACTACTACATGCAGTATGTATGTAGTACTACATACTACCTACGTACTACTACATCCAGTATGTCTGTAGTACCACATACTACCTACGTACTACTACATCCAGTATGTATGTAGTACCACATACTACCTACGTACTACTACATGCAGTATGTCTGTAGTACTACATGCTACCTATGTACTACTACATCCAGTATGTCTATAGTACTACATACTACCTACGTACTACTACATGCAGTATGTCTGTAGTACCACATACTACCTACGTTCTACTACATCCAGTATGTACGTAGTACCACATACTACCTACATACTACTACATGCAGTATGTACGTAGTACTACATACTACCTACGTACTACTACATCCAGTATGTATGTAGTACCACATACTACCTACGTACTACTACATCCAGTATGTATGTAGTACCACATACTACCTACGTACTACTACATGCAGTATGTCTGTAGTACTACATGCTACCTATGTACTACTACATCCAGTATGTCTATAGTACTACATACTACCTACGTACTACTACATGCAGTATGTCTGTAGTACCACATACTACCTACGTTCTACTACATCCAGTATGTACGTAGTACCACATACTACCTACATACTACTACATGCAGTATGTACGTAGTACTACATACTACCTACGTACTACTACATCCAGTATGCCTGTAGTACCACATACTACCTACGTACTACTACATCCAGTATGTCTGTAGTACCACATACTACCTATGTACTACTACATCCAGTATGTATGTAGTACCACATACTACCTACATACTACTACATCCAGTATGTATGTAGTACCACATACTACCTACGTACTACTACATGCAGTATGTCTGTAGTACTACATACTACCTACGTACTATATACAGGACTATGGAAAAGGTGGCTGGAAGGACCTGAAGGGATCATATTGTCCACCTCAACTCCCCACAGCAAGAGCAGCCAAACCATTGCAACACAATGCTCTGCCTGTGGTCTAGAAAGCTCTGATGACTCCTACCTCCCTAGAGACACTGTCCTCGCTTCCTCGTCCTTCCATCTCACCTACGTTTCTCATGATGTAAATGAAGCCCAGGGCTTCCCATCCTCCTCTGGATGGAGGGAGCAGCATTTTGGGGTTCTCTGAAGCTGCCTTGTGCTGTTTGAAGCCTTTTATTCCACTTTTCTTCCTTGGACCGAGCCATGGGTCTGAGACGAGGTCATTCCAGGCCTCCCCTTGTCTCTGGCCAGCAAGACCTTCAGCACTGGGATCTTTGTTTTCCTCTCCCTCTTGTCTCAGGACCTCTTATCTGTTATAGGCAGCTATTAAAGAACATCCTCACCCTACAGAGGATGGATTAATGCAGAGAGCTGAGAGCAGGACCCAGGCCTCCTGCCCCATTTCCCCTTCCCTGGAACGTGTTGCCCAATCATTTATGTAGGACAGACAGAAACTTGTGGAAATTCTGGCTCCAGGTCCAGTCATTCACCTGGGGGCCAAAACAGAGCCCAAAGGTCCCTTCCCTGCGTTTGGAAGGGCTGAGAAGATGAGGTGAGGTTGGTAGAAACCATGATAGAAGGGGGGAGATGGGTGAGGAGGAAGGTGTCCGCACAGGGGTGAGCGGCCTCGCTGCTCCACGCTGGATTCCTGCAGGTCCCCCAGGGAAGGTTGGGACTGGAGGCCCTGGCTCCGGTGCCTACCTCAGCCTTGTAGGGGTAGGACTGCTCGGAGTCGATGCCGCCGTTGTCGATGATGTACTGGAAGGCTCTGGTCATGAGCCCGCCGCTGCAGCCCCGGTTCCCCTGCGGCACGGAGCAGTCCACGAGGTTCTGGGTGCTCAACGACACCAAGGTCCCCGTCTTCAGCTTCACCTGCGCCTCGAGCGCTCCCACGGCGCTGAAGGCCCAGCACGAGCCGCAGGCGCCCTAAGGGAGCCCTGGAGATGCTCAGACCCCACTCGGGGACCAGGACATGAAGGGGGCACGGGGTTGAGGGGGTTCAAACCTGGTTCTTCACATCCGTGACGCATCCCTGCTCCCTCCAATCCACCGTGTCCGGGAGGCGGCTGCGGGGCTGCGGGCGGGATGCGGAGATGCGCCGGGATCGGGGAGCGATGCTGAGCCCCGTTAACAAAGCTGCCACCTCCTTGCTGGTCTGGGTTTTGGGGGGAGAAAACAGCGGCTCATGATGGTGTCTCCCCATCCAGTGGGTGTGCAGGAGGTGTCTGAGCTTGAGCTGCCCTTGGCCGGCTGCTTTCCACATTGGGTTTCTACCCATTCGTTGGAAAGGGTAAGAAGAAGAACGCACAAAGCTTAACCCCAGCACCCCTCCAAGCTGGGATGTGTCATTAACCACCACCACCACCAGCTCAGGATGTTGAAGAGGGATGAGTTGCACATATATGTAATGACCAGGACCGGGTCTGAGCACCCAAAAAGCTGCACTGAGGAGCTATTTCCTCACAGCTCATTGCCTCACACTGGGAGGCTGAGCACAGGAATGTCGGAGCAGTTTGCCCATGGCTGCTGGAACCCACAAGAAGAAGACGGGCTGAGGAGCTGCTGGGCGCTTTCCCACCCCAAACCCATGTTAAATCCCCGTCCTATGGGATGAGAGACCAAGACAAGCCCCATCCCAGCAGCGTGGCCCGTACCTACCATGTCCCCCAGGTGGTTCATGCCCAGCGTGTAGGAGTGCAGCCCCAGGGAGTGCTCCAGGTTGTGCAGCGTCACCAGGCGCAGGTTCCTCTCCCAAGTCTCGCGTCGATCCCATTCCTCCTTCTGGAATCAAACCCAGCCCCGCTGCCACTGCACCCACTCCATCCCTCTAAAGGGTGAGCACATCAAACCATCCCCACGGGGTGATGCTGGGTTATGGCGAGCAGCACCCACCCCATCAGCACCCTGAGCCGCCCACTGCCGCGTCCCTACCTCGTGGCGATACTCCTTGCCATGGGTCTTCTTCCAGAGCTGCCAGTGCCAGTCCAGCGCAGGGTCAGGGTGCGCCAGGGCCACCACAAGCGTGGCCAGGAAGGCGAGGGGAGGCAGCAGCTTCATCCCGCTCCAACGGGACCGGGCAGCCGGAGCGACACGGCACAAACGCCAGGAGCAGAGGGATGGGAGCCGGGCTTGACCCCTTGGTGACAAATCCGGTTGGGTAAGAGGCAGGAGGTGATGACATCCCTGACCTCGGCTCCCTGGCATGTCCTTCATGGTGTTTCTACACCGGGTGATGCCACCAGCTCCTGCCCTGAGTGCCCAGAGGAGCTCCCCTCCTGGGGCTCCCAACCCCTGCCAGGTGGGAAGGGGAATCCCATCCTGGCCTCGCTGCCTGCAAGGGGAGAACTCGGCTGGACCCGAGCCCCGAGGACACCGACGCGCAGGGACACATCCAGACACGATCCTGGTTCCACCCTGCTGAGAAACCCTCCCTGAAGGTGTCTCCCATCACCTGGGCAAGAGGCTGCTCTCTCAAACCTGGTGCTCCAGCACAGCAAAGAGCAAACCAGAACCTCCTATTTTCATCCAGCCACCTCCTGCAGCCCTGCCCGGAGAGGGCTTGGGGGAAATCAGAGCTAAAATGGAGCCAGAGTCAACACCGAAACATCCTCCTGCAGTTTTACTTCCTCCAAGCTCCATCCTCCCCACCGGGGGAGGGTTAAAGCCAAAAGCACCCAACGTACCTGGAAAGGCTTCTCCCGGTGCTGGGCACTGACCTGCAGCGTGTGTGGGGTCAGTGGGGACAGTGGGGACAGAGCAGCGTCCCCATTGCCGGGCTGCCCGTGGCCTCCGGGCCTGCTCAGCAGACAAATCACGAGCCAGGAAGTGAGGAAATGCTCTGATTTCATTTTCACTTAGCGGGAGCAGCACTGGCCGAGCCTCCCGTGGGCGCAGCCGGAGCGGGACACGCGATGCCGGCCGGGAATGGGGGCACACAGGGGGCCACGCATCCATGGCGGGGCTCCCATGGGGCTCATGGAGGGCCAGGAGCAGGGCTCCCACTGCTGCTGTGATTTGGGTGCTCCTGGGACTTGGTGCTGAGCCGAGAGACAGGAGGAGGTCAAGCCCAGGAGCCGTGCTCAGTGTAAACGGGGTAGACCCCAGCTCCCTTTACACCGGTGTGAACGGGGTAGACCTGAGCTCCCAGCTTGCTAATGGGGTGAATGGGGTAGACCCGAGCCCCGACCTTGCTACTGGTGTGTTGCAAGGAGCCCCCAGCAGCATCTTCTCTCCTCACCTCACCCCAGGCATCAGCCGTGTTTTACCATCAGCTCCTGCCCCTTTTGGACTTTGCCACCACTCCAGCCCCTCCTCACCATGGGGCCAGCCCCACAGGACCCAGCCCCACAGGACCCAGCCCCAGAGTTTATTCCCAACAGTGTTTATTTAAAAATAAAGTCCTATCATTCCTTGCATCCCGCCTTGGCGCGCAGGGGGACAGCGCTCTCCATGGGGATGTCCCATTCCCAGAGGAACAGCGCCTGTTTGCACAAGCATCTCCGGGTGGATCAGACTCTCTGGAGCCGGCCCTGAGTGTCTGTGGCCATGGGAAGGCAGAACCCGGCACGGCAAAGGAGCTGGGGGGAGCTCATCCCAACTTCCATAGGGAGCTGGGGCCTCCCCCAGTTCCTGGGGAGGTTTCTCATGGAAAGGCAGAGATTCCCCTGGAGCAACACCAGCTTCGGAGACGGGGAGCAAGGAGGGGAGCTGGGAAGCGGGATGGGGGCTCACATCCTGGGGAAGCTGGCCAGGTTGGCGATGCCGCAGGCGTTGTTCATGTTGCGCGCCAGGAGCACGTAGCCCTTGTTGCCCCACTCCTCGCCCCAGCTATGGGGAGAAAAGGCAGAGCCTGAGCCACCGGTGGAGCCCGACCCGGCGGAGCCAAGCGGCCCCGGTGCCCTGAGGTACCTGTTCTTGAGGATCCAGTGCTTGGTGCCCTTCTGCGTGCCGTAGCCCACCGCCAACACGGCGTGGTTGATGTTCTGGGCGTTGCAGCTCTCATCATAGTACACGCCTGGGGGGGGGGGACAGGAGCGGGGTCACCCAGGGCCCAGAGCACCCCTCCGTGCCTCAGTTTCCCCGAGCTGCCCCTCACCGCGGCTGTAGAACTGGAAGGAGGGGAGGCTGGCGTCGATGCCCACCGAGACGGGGCCGATCCTGGCCACTGCCCTCTTCAGCGCCTTCTCGTTGCCCTCGGGGATCTCGCGGTAGCCGCGGCACTTGGCTGCCTTGCCCGTGGGGCTGTACATGCAGCTCTCGTCCTGTGGGGCGCAGCAGGGTCAAGGGCAGACGAAGGGGCAGGTGGAGGGGAGCAGAGGGAGCCCGTGCCCCAGCCCCGGACCTGGCCGATGTAGGGGTAGGCATCCTCGGAGTCGATGCCGCGGTTCTGCCGCACGTACTCGAAGGCGTTGGTCATGTACCCGCCGCCGCAGCCGTCGTTGTTGGCCACGCAGTCCACCAGGTTCTGCGGGCTGAGGGACAGCAGCTTCCCCGTCCTGCGTTTGAGCTGCCCCTCCAGGGCACCCACCGAGCTGAACGCCCAGCACGAGCCGCACTGGCCCTATGGGGACACCGGGGTGACGAGAGGGTGACACCGGGCACCCGGCTCCAGGCACCCCCAGCAGCACCCCGCTTACCTGGTTCTTGACAGGGGTCACGTAGCCTTTCCTCCTCCAGTCCACGGCCGCCGGGGCCCTCTCGGTCCAGTCAGGGACGTAGAGCGTCTCGTTGCGACGGGGACGGCCACGGGGCACCTTCAACCCTGTCATTGTCCTCAGCACCTCCTCGCTGGTCTGGGGAAGGAGATGATGAGCGCAGCCCCATGGATGTGCTCAGCCCCTTCTCTCCCACCCCACGCTCACCAAGTCACCCAAGTGGTTCATGGCCAGCTCGAAGGTGTGAACGCCCAACGCGTGCTCCAGGTTGTGGGTGTTGATGTACTTGAGGTTCTTCTCCCAGATCAACCTCCGCGCCGCCTCGTCCTCCTGCACCATGGGGTGAGATGGAGCTGGGTGAAGGGGGTCCTGCCCCTGTCCTCCCTCCAACAACCCACGGGGACAGCCCCATGGCCACCGGCCCCGTGGGGCCATCGCTCCCTGTACCTCGCCGTTGTACTGCTTGCGGTGGGTTTTCTTCCATAGGTCCCACTGGGCATCCAGCTCCCGCTCCGCATGCAACTGGGCCACCGCAGGGACCAGCAGGGCCAGCAGTGTGGGCCACCACATCCTGGGGACGAGCTGAGCGCTGCGGATGGGGACAGAGACTGAGCCGGGGAAGGGGACAGGGTCCTGTGCCCATCACCACTGTAGGGGAATGGGACCCTGCGCCCACCCCACTTCTAAGCCCAGGGGGACCCCGTTCCCTCCCTGCATAGGGGCAGGGGGAGCCCAGGACCCCACATCCACCAGCAGCAGGATTGGGCCAGGATCCCCCTCCCATCCCGGGGCCACGCTGGCCGGGAGCAGCATCACATGAGCCCCGACTCCTGGCTCCCGTTCCCGACGCCGGCGCCTCGCCAGCTGCCCCGAGGCACAGGGAAACCCCATGTGGGGCGCACAGAGCAATGGGGAGGACCCCCAGGCCCCATCCAAGCGCTTTGCTTTACCCCCTCACCCCACTTCCTCACCAGACCCCCAGGGCAGGGACCCGCAGCCCTGCTCAATGCTCCCTGCCTCAGTTTCCCCTTTGGCAGCTCTCGAGTCCCATTGCTGCCCCACAGGACCCCGTTTCCCTAGGGAAAAGCCACCCAAGCACCCCAGGGAGGCCTCATTGGGGGTCTCCCTCCACCCATGGGCCCCATCCTTACCCCAGCACGGTGCTGGCGGGGGACGGTGCAGCCAGGACCGGGATGCAGGCGCTGCGGCCGCGGCTCTTTTATGCTCCCGGATTGAGGAAGTTCAAGCGGCAGCTGGAAAGTTTTGGGAGCTGCTCCAGGGGTGGAGGGAAGGAGGAGACCGGGAAGGGAGGGGGGGATCCAGCAGCGGCTCCCTCCCGGCTTCACGTGATGCTGAGTCAGCCCCAGCTGTGGGGCTGGTGGCTCTGGATCCTGCTCCAGCGATGTCCTGCCCTAAGGACATCTCCTTGTCCCATAGCCCTGCCCCACGGGCTGCCCGCATTCCCGGGAGACCCACACTGCTTCCCAAGGGGAGCTGAGCACCCGCTTGCTTTGGGACACGGTGGTCCCAAAGGATGAGGGCAGGATGAAACCCTCCCCCAGGGATGCTGTGTGACACCTGGAGCAGGGGACGGGGCCTCATCTCTGTCCCCAGTGTCCCCAAACCAAGGCTGCTGCCCCACTAAGGGCAGGATTCAGCCACTGGTGCCCAGTTCAGCCCTGACCCCGCAGCAGCACAGGGGGAAGCAGGACCAGACGGTGCTTTCTGCAGTGACGGGCACCTCATCACGAGGCTCCTGCCTGGGACAAGCAGAAAACCTTGGTCATGGCCCGGTGGCATCAGCCCCATCACATCGGGGACATCATCATCACCATCATCATCATCACCATCATCATCATCACCCCACCATGGGTGCAGGGATGGGCCCTCCCGGGGCACAGTGAAGGGGATGGAGAAGCACCAAGGATGGAGCCACCCCTTAAGCTGTCCCCACGTCACTGCAGGGGTCCCAGGGACAGGGACCTGCACCCAGACATCAGTTCCCCTTGCCCATAGCGGGGCTGAGTCAGGCCCTGCTGTGGCCCCATGGCCCTGAGCACGGGGCCCTGACGTGGCCGAGTGTGACCGAGGGGTGAGGCCACCCCTGGGGACAGAGCACCCACAGCAGGGACCCAGCAGCCAGAGCAGGGGCAGGGAAGGGGGAGCAGCGGTTTAGGGGGCCCTGCTCCATGCAGGTGAGGCTGAAGATAGCCAAGAGGTGGGAACAAGGTGAGGCTGAAGGGGCACTGACTGCATCCCCTCTCCGGGGAGGAATCATGCAATGGGATGGAATGGACCTTAAAGCTCATCCAGCTCCAGCCCCTGCCACAGGTACGGACCCCTTCACTAGAGCAGGATGCTCCAAGCTCCTGTGTCCAACCTGGCCTTGAACACTGCCAGGGATGGGGCAGCCACAGCTTCTCCATTCAACCCATTCCAGTGTCCCACCACCCTCACTTCTTCCTTATCTCCAACCTAAATCCCCCCTGTTCCAGTCTGAACCCATCACCCCTTGTCCTGTCGCTCCAGTCCCTGATGAAGGCCCCTCCCCAGCATCCTTGCAGCCCCCTTCAGACACTGGAAGCTGCTCTGAGCTCTCCACAACTTCTCTTCTCCAGGCTGAGCAGCCCCAACAACCATTCAAGTACCCAAGACGGGGAAGAAGGGAGGGAGCACCCAGGGATGGAGCACCCAGGGCTCCCAGTATTGCTGTTAGGTGAAGGATGGGGATCCAGGGTACCCCATAGCCATGGCACAGGGAGGGAGGAGGCAGGAATGAGGCTGAGCTTTGCCAAGGGAAATCTCTGTTGTGAGATCTCTGCCCCATGGAACCATCACCAAGTGCTGCAGCGAGAGGGAGTCTGGGGCCCACACGAGGAGGAAGAAGAGGTTCTGGTGCCCTGGGCAGAGCTGGAGCTGAAGGACATCACTGCAGAGAGCACCAGAGCTGCAGCTCCCCAAAGGTCACCTCCTCCAGGGCTTGAGGGCTGTAGAAATGGGAACCTGCCTCCTCCTTGGGCAGGCGAGGGCTGCTCCATCCTGCATCCGTTGGGAAGGGATCCCACACCGGAGCACGGCACAGCTCGGCCTGGGGATGAGCACGCAGGAAGCACCTTGCTGCTTCCCAAACACACGCCTCCATGCCTGGGATAACTCCAGAACCTGGCACTGGGATGGGACAGGCAATGAGAGGCCATCGTGTTACTGCTGGTAGCAGATTCCCTGGATTAAAGGGCAGGCAGGGGGAACACAGGATGGTTCCAAACTCCTGAATGGGAGGTTTCCACCTTCCCATGGCTACATTTGGAAGTGGGGTTGGAAATGAGGAAAAAACAACTTCAAATCTTAGTTTTCCAATAAAAACAGGAGAAAAAGTGGAAAAAAACGGAAGTTTTCTGCTCCACCCCAAGAGAAGCCTCTCCAGGTCACTACAAGCATCACCCTCCATGAGCAGGAACACGATGGAGGGGTTGGACGGTACCAAAAGCTGCTGTGGGAGCATCCAGCACAGCCTCTCCTCTTCCCACAGCAGCAGAGCAGCCCCTCCTGGCCAGCAGGGGCTCTCAGCCCCACTGACACGCAGGGAGGAGGGAAAAGTATGCAGCCAGGCTTCAGGAATGCTGCTTGTCCTTCCCCTGCTGCGCTTGTGCCAAGTTTCCTTCCACGTTCAACTCCGCAATGAGCAAGTTTTCCTATTGGAATGGAAGCCAGGCTTGCCCTGGCAGCAGGAATCCAAGTGTGGAGCCTGAGGAGAGCAAGATTTGCCCCCCATTTCTTCCTGCCACAAGATCGGAAGGTTTAAACTGAAGGTGATGGATATAAAGCCTCCATCTTCCCATTCCCACCTGCCTCAGCTGCCTCCATCCCAGGATTTGGCAACAGGGTCAGCACAAGGCAGGAATTTGCCTTTAAGGAGACAGTGATGAGAGGGAAAACCAGCTCCTCAGCGAGGCCCTGCTCAGCTCCAGCAGGAAGGTGAGGACCTGGATCTCCATGCGGTGGAACCCCACTACCCACGCAGAGCAGTTCCACTGCCCCCCACCAAGCTGACCATGACAGCTGGCAGCACAGGAACCCGCTGCAGGAGTGATGCAGCAAGACCAAAGCTCTGGAGATACAACAGCTTTATGGCTCGGAACTATCCCGTCATTCCCGGCACAACCGGGCCCAAGGGAGTCGATGGCGACACCGACTCCGAGGCCCAAACTCATTGCACAGTTCACAGGAGAGATGGAATCCAACCACCCACCAACGTGGGAGCATCTAAAGCTCCTCAGAGCTTTGGGAACAACCCTCCAAGGAGAGCTCCTCCAGTGAGGAGCTGCTTTGGACACGGGCTCTTACTCAAGCATCCTCTGGGATCGAGTTCCACATGGATTAACACTTGGAAGAGCTTCTTCCAATACTGGAAAAGTTACAATACTTTGTGTTTTATAGAAAAGAGAGGCAGGGTATAGAAGGTTGAAATAAAAACAGGAAAAGCCACCTTGGAACTTGGAGGGCTTTGTCTGTGATCCAGACAGGAACCCCTCCGACCAGCCCAGCGTGAGGAACCGCGGGGCTTTGGTGAGCTCCGGCACCATTCCAGTCCTGAGGCCTCCAGACCAGTCCCCACTGCCAGCACCACACAGGGCAGGTGCCCACAACCTCACCAGCATCTCCTCCTCCTGCCAAGCTTCCTCCATGGTGGAGCTTCACTTCCAGAAGGCAGGAAGTGTTCAGAGTTCAGAGGCCTTGGAGACAAAGCCCTGGCTGGGACACGGGGCTGGGGTGAGCTCCCCAGGCCTGGCTCTACTCTGAGAAGGACGGGAAGATGTTGAGCTCCGGGAACTCCTCGTTGTTGTAGTTGGGTCCTTGCTCTCCCAGCATGGTCAGCATGTCCTGTGGGATACAGGGAGAGAGCAGCTGGAGCAGAGCATCACACACCCAAGGATCAGCTCTGCTGGGCTTTCACAAGAATGAGGCCTCAGCCTTCCAGCCCTATGGACCTCCAAACCTCCAGCCCTCTGGTTCTCAAGTCCTCCAGCTCTCTGGTTCGCCCACCCTCTGTTCCTCCAGTTCTCCCACACTATGAACCTGCAGTCCCCTGGTCCTCCAGCCCTCTGGTGCTCTGGACCTCCGGCCCTCTGGTCCTCCAGCCATCTGGACCTCCAGTTCTCCAGCCCTTTGGATCTACAGTCCTCTCAATACCCACTCCTCCAGACCTCTGCCCCTCCAGCTCTCTGGTCCCTCTGGAGCTCTAACCCTGGGGACCTCCAGTCCTCCAACAATCTGGATCTCCATCCCTCTGGTCCTCCATTTCCCTGCTCCTCCATCCCTCTGGACCTCCATCCCTCTGGTCCTCCATTTCCCTGTTCCTCCAGCCCTCTGGACCTCCAACTCCCTGGTCCTCCAGCCCTCTCATCCTCCAGTCTTCTGGACCTCCAGCTCTCTGGAACTATAACCCTGGGGGCCTCCAGCCCTCCAGCAATCTGGTCCTCCAGCCCTCTGGTCCTCTGCACTTCCAGCCTGCTACAAACCTCCAGCCATCTGGACCTCCAGGCCTACAGCCCTCTGGACCCCTGGCCCTCCAGATCTCTGGACTTCCAACCCTCCAGTCTTGCAGCCCTCTGGCCCTCCAGCTCTCCAGAAATCCAGTCCTCCAGCCCTCTGGTTCTCCTCCTTTGGACCTCCAGTCCTCTGGTTCTCCTCCTTTGGACCTCCAGTCGTCTGGTCCTCCAGCCCTCTGGTTCTCCTCCTTTGGACCTCCAGTCCTCTGGACCTCCAGCCCTCTAGCCCTTTGTTCCTCCAGCCCTCTGGACCTCCAGTTCTCCTGCTCTCTGGACCTCCAGACCTCTGGTTCCCCAGCCCTCCTGCTCTCTGGACCTCCAGTCCTCCAGACCTATGGATCTCCAGTCTTCCAGCCCTCCAATTCTCCAGCCCTCTGGACCTCCAGCCCACTTTATAGACCTCCATCCTGCACTATACACCTCCAGCCCACGTTATAGACCTCTGGCCTGCCTTACAGACCTCTGGACTGCCCTATAGATCTCCAGCCTACCCTACAGACCTCTGGCCTGCCCTATAGGGTCTACAGACCTGCTTCCTTATACACCTCCAGCCTGCCCTATAGGGTCTACAGACCTCCTTCCTTATACACCTCCAGCCTGCCCTATAGGGTCTACAGACCTGCTTCCTTATACACCTCCAGCCTGCCCTATAGGGTCTACAGACCTGCTTCCTTATACACCTCCAGCCTGCCCTATAGGGTCTATACAGTTCCACCCTTATACACCTCCATCCTGCCCCGTAGGGTCTATACAGCTCCTTCCTTATACACCTCCAGCCTGCCTATGGGGTCTATACACCTCCTCCCTTATACATCTCCAGCCTGCCCTATAGCGTCTATACACCTCCTTCCTTATACACTTCAGCCTGCCCTATAGGGTCTATACGCCTCCTTCCTCATACACTTCCAGCCTGCCCTACAGGGTCTATACAGCTCCTTCCTTATACACCGCCAGCCTGTCTTAAAGGATCCATACACCTCCTCCCTTATACACCTCCACCCTGCCCTATAGGATCTATACAGCTCCTTCCTTATACACCTCCAGCCTGCCCTATAGGGACCATACACCTCCTCCCTTATACACCTCCTCCCATATACACCTCCTCCCTTATACACCACCAGCCTGCCCTATGGGGACCATACACCTCCTCCCTTATACACCACCAGCCTGCCCTATGGGGACCATACACCTCCTCCCTTATACACCACCAGCCTGCCCTATAGGGACCATACAGCTCCTCCCTTATACACCACCAGCCTGC